TGAAAGACAAATACATCAGTAGCCGTTATATATTGCAATACTTAATGTTAGTAGACATACAGTCGTAAATTAAACATCTAATTAATTGTCTGATCATGTTTTTCACCCTCTCCTATTATTTATATCATTTTATTTTTCATAAACCAAAAAAATCGTTACATAATCACACAATATAGAAATTTTATATCATAAATAAAGACAGTCAAGCTTAAAACAGGTAAGTTCCGTTTTGAAACTCACCTTGGGAGGACTGCAGAGAGTCCAACACTACAAGAACTTTTTTTGATTCAGTGGTTTTTTTTTCAGGACTTTTTTCTCCCGGGAGGGGAGGAGAAGCACTTAAAATGTTCTAAGGGGGGGGGGGGGGAGAGAGTGAGGGGGGGGGGGCTATGTCGTAAAGTACAAAGTAGACTCATGCACTTAGTAACAATTTCAATAAAAGGTGATTACGCTTGCAAACTGGAATTGAATGAATTAGTACAAACTTTTGAGACGAAGGAGGCAAGTAAAATTTGATTTTGATGTCTACATATACCGTGTATGCAATTGATAATAAGTTAATATGTCACTTTTAATTAATTGTTTTCTTATACATATGTTTTAGTAATTATATTGTGTGAAAAGGGGGGGGGGGGCGTTTTAAAATGTTTTGCCTGGGGCGCTAAATAACCTGGTGCCAGTACTGCTTAAGCACAGGTTAAGTCCTCAAAAGAGTATTTAAGTTTAAGGGATATAGAGTTTTGAAGGTAAAAATATTGAATCCCAGTCTTTCAAACTTAGAAGGAAACACACAAAAAGTTAACTTGTATTGGGTAAACAACCATTTCATAGAATTTGTCTTTAATATTAGCCCGTGGGTCCTTCTCCGATCCTCTACCCCACCCTTCTATGCACTCCATGACATCAGACAGAGTAAATTAAAAAAAAAAACTGTTGAGAAAGAGATATTCTCTGATCCCTCTGACCTTTACGTTAATTATGAAACAGTAATTTATAATTTAGAAGGTTAGCAATGAAACAGGCAAATAACACTATTGGAAATACCAGTGGTGTAGCGAGGTCTGGGGTCACCCGGTGCGGCACTTAATGGTATCACCCCCCCCCCCCCCAGATGCGTACGACCCTTCCGGGGACAAACTTCTGTCAAATTTTCGATTTGCACCCCCCCCCCCCTCAAACTTTCGAGTTGCACCCCCCCCCAAGTTTTTCTCTATATATTTTACTATTTTTTGCCTTGGTGTCACCCCCCCCCCTAAATGGTGTCACCCGGTGCGGTCCGCAACCCCCCCCCCCCCAACCCTCGCTACGCCTCTGGGAAATACTGTGTTCATATCACGCCAAAAGTAGACACAAGTACAGAACATGGTCCTGTTTCAATATAAAACAGTTTTAGTCTACATATTGCAACACGTATAGTATACATGTTGCAATATGTACAGCATACATGTTGCTATATGGGGTCGTCCATAAATGACACACTCGTAGGGGGGAGGGGGGGGGGTCTGTAATTTTGTGACAGTGTGTGATGAGGGGGAGGAAGGGGGTTCAAATGGTGCGACGTCACACTTTTGCATTATCAAAAAGCAATGTTAGAAAACGAATTTTAGACGTTATTTTGCGTCTTAGAAAACTGTTTTAATAAATTGTAATAACAATTTATTAAAATACTCTATTTTGACAGAGTTCAGACAAGATTTTAGAAAAATATAGCTGTTTAAAAAAAATTGAACTGCAATTTTGAGGGGGGGGGGGGGGGGGTTGTAGGCTGAGGTGTGACGTCATTTTAGGGGGGTCTGGCTTTTTGTGACGACGTGTGACGGAGGGGAGGGGGGGAGGTAAAAATCGTCAAAAAAAAAGCGTGACGTCATTTATAGATGACCCCTATGTATACTATACATGTCTCAACATGTATAGTATACATATTGCAACGTATGGTATACGTGTCGTAACAAGTATAGTATACATATTGTAACACGTACAGTATACTTGTTGCAACATGTTCTTGTATTTTAGTGCCTGATAGGCTTCACTGCTCGCCATTGTTACATCAATAATCTTATCTGTATTCACAACATAAAAACTAAATGTTAAAACATCATCCATCACCAGTAAAGCATGCAACATCCGACTAACCTGCTGGATGACATCCATGTATGGCAAGCAAGGCAAAAACAAACAGCTGCAACAAATCCATGCTGGGTCTCTAACAAAATTCTTCCAAATATTTTTTTTTACATGTAGATCTAGTATCCTTTATTTTCTTAATCAGGAGCCAAGTAAATTCGACACATGAATCCAATTGCTTATTTCATGTTGAAATAAATTATCTCTACGACCGAAATAGATATTTCGTGTAGGTATAAAAGTCCAAAAATAACCCAACTGTTTTTTAACATGAAGTTGGACTGCCGCCCTACCCATCACTCCTAGCGGGCAAGCTAGTGACAGGTTCGACAACTCATCAATTACATCTTGTTAGGCTTCAGACGTCAGCGGTCCCTGTCGTCACACATAAAGGCTAGTGTTCTCACCTTTTCATTTATTGACTTCTTATATAAGAAAACACTGTTTTTTTTTGTACATCTCCGGGAAGAGGAGGAGGAGGGGTGGGGGTGGGAATGCATCACCTGGAATATCTCCACCCTCCACAGACGGAAAAAAATATTTTATTTAACTAATCTTTTCACAACCCGGCACAACCCTCCCCGGAAGTTTCAATCCCCAACTCCAGCACCGAGCAAAATGCAGTGTTTCTTTCAGACATTCCCCACCGAGGGGAGGGGCACTTGAAATTTTCGGTGGAGGAGGGGGTGGGGGCGTTGTGTTTTTTTTTCTTCGCTATAATAGGTGCGGGGACCAATTGATCAATGTAATAAAATAAAATTAATGTAAGAAGAGAATATACCTTAGTTTCGAACCCAGCTTTTTAACACCTAGGTCCTTGAATCTCGCTCTAGTTTAATGCAAGACTAATCAAAATTTTTAAAAAATTAAATGAAAAAAATCAGAAGCGTAATCAAACGCAAAAAAAGGTCCCTATTCATCAATTTTGCTTTACTTTTCAAACAAATAAAACGCTAGGCCTAACTAATATAAACTATTGTGAAGTAGTTTTTTTGTAAAAATCGCCGTTTCAAAATTGAATATGACACCGTTTATTTTTTTTACACCCCTTCAACATGACGATTACAACTGATGAATGATCCTTCTCGCAGTCACGTGACGTATGGAGAAAAAAAGCTGTTTTTAGCTTGATCACGGAAGGATGAATTATTGGTTGGCAGATGTACGAACTCGTGTTAGGCTGTCGCCCGGGGCGCTTCAAGGGTTGCTGTTACACAGGTGAATTAGACTTTGATATTAGCAGACGGGAAGCTGTAACAGGCAGACTGTAAGTTGTTTGTGGTGTGCTCCTTAATGAGCTGAAAGGTAAGGGGTCGTGCATAAATGACGTCACACTCCTGAAGGGGGGGGGGGGGAGTGTAATTTGATAAAGATGTGTTTAGAGGGGAAGAGACGAGGTGGAGGTTTGATAGAAGGACGTCTTTTTTTTTAAATTTTTAAGTTTATGTTAGAAACTGATTTTTAGCCATTGTTTTCGCGTTGAAAAAACTAAATTGAAATTGTGTAAATTGTAAAAGACATTGATTAATTTACTTCGTCTTTATGATTTTCGGTTAATTATTTTAGAAAGAAACCTATTTTGATTAAAATAAAATTTAACTGAAATTCTAATGGAGTGTATGTGTGTGTGTGTGTGTGTGGGGGGGGGGGGGGGTGTAGGTGTGAAGTCATTTTAGGGGAAGGAGTCTGGCTTTTGGTGAGGTGTGACAAGGGTGGGGGTAAACATAGTGAAAAAAATGGGACATCATTTATGAGAATGTTCAATGGTGGCTGAAATGTGTAGAGATATTATTCACATTTTAAATTATGGTTGAAATGTGTGCAAATTTTATCATACAAATTAGTAATGGTGGCTGAAATGTGTAGTTATTATACATATTTTAAATTATGGTTGAAATGTGTACAAATGTTATCATACATATTGGTAATGGTAGCTGGATTTGTATACAAACATATTACACATGTTAAAAGGTTTCTGAATTGTGTACAAATATACTCATTTTTAATGGTGGCTGAAATGTGAACATGTTTTTATACACATTTTTAATAGTGGCATAATTGTGAACAGATGTTATACTATACACATTTTTAATGATGGCTGAAATGTGAATGGCTGTTCTATTTTTAATGGTGGCATAAATGTGTACAGGTGTTCTACACATTTTTAATGCGTGATAAATTTTGCATTGTTCGGTAGCTCATATGGCAGGTGTTGTAAAGCCGCCTTTACTTTCCATAATATAATGCTTTTCAAATTAGAAAACAGGTAAAATTAATCAATGTATGAAAACTTGTTTTTAAATTATTTTTTTATACTAATTTCGCATCTAAAAAGTAAGACAATTTTCTATTGTCCTCCACACAAATATTTGTATAAAAAATCTTATTATTCTTTACCCTGCAGACCATAGGCTGGAATTACGAAAACAAATCTTTGCTGACCTAACTACTATTGCTGGATAACTGATTTACATATATATATATATTGATGCTGTAAATTAGTGAGTGAAGGTTAAATGTTACAATACATGTCATTTGTTAAGTCTAGGGTAAAAATAAGTTTTGAACATATGAAAAAGTTATCCAGATGTATTATTTCCTTTTAGTCAAATGTGGGTATAAATGACTGAGCAATAGCTTAATACTTTTAGAGGACTTAGGATATAGTAAAGGTAGATGTATACTTATTCTTTTGTTAGATTAAAGCAGTTTGAAATATGATTCTAGTTTTTTTCATGCGCTTATTCTTAATTTTGAAACTAAAATTAATCATATACTAGGATCATGCCTTAATATAGATGGTCTCGAATTTCTTTACTGAAACGTATTCAGTACAAACAAATTAAAAGAACAAATGAAAAACACAAAGAGATTAGTTTAGCCCTCAACATACTGGCTTTAATATATTAGAATCATAAATAAGAACAAATCAGATCAACAATGGACAATCACTATCTGGTCTTGCCATATGTGGTATTGTTTTTTTTTTACTCTACAGATGAAAGTTTCTGATCACTTTTTGGATGGGCCTGCGACATATCGGACAAGACTTGCGCTGTCTCTTCAGCTTCTTCGCACAGCGGTAACAACAAACCTGGTGTCCGGTCTTGCCGTGGATGATGCTGGCCGTTTTCTTTCTGGTCAGGCACACCACGCACGACTCATCCCGTTTCGACGCCGACTGGCTCGGCGGCGGACTGGCCATCTCGCTGTCCTGGCAGTCGCAAGAGTCGGAGGTCAGGTCCTTGTCCTGACTGGACTTGACCTTGGTGCTGTCCTGGCTCAAGGTAGTCTGAGAGCAGCCTGGAGTTTCAGACGAACTTGAATTGGCTGTCTGGATCTCTTCATGGGCTGGCTCTGGTCTGCTGGTGCTTGTGGGCAGCCAGTCTAGACGGATGCTCCAACAGCCGCTGCAGTTCCTCTGAAAGGGTGGGTTCTTTGTGTTGCAAGTCTGGCACAGCCATTTGTCCTGAGAAAGAACCAAGGAGGATAACTTCTACAGTTTTTTAAAAAAAAAAACTTTTTAAAAAACAGTTATCTCCCTTGAAAATACAGATTCAATTAATTACATTGTTTTATGTTTATAAAATTAGAACAGCATGATTGAATGGTTGAGCCTTTGACTGCTAACCCAAATGTCTCGAGTTCAGATCCAGGCTTAAATCTGTAGGACATCCAGTTCAAATAGGTACCAGACTCAGGGAAAGGGAAGCACATGTAAATAGTGATGACAGTATTATCCCTTCATATGTCAAGGTCACTGAAACAGACGATCTCTACTTTACCTACCACATGGACCATATGGTGCAAAAGAGTACTTTACTTTTTTATATTTATGATTAAATAGTTATTTTTACATAAAAATGTATGTGTGTGTATGTCTAGTATAGGTATATGAACAGTTTTCCTATGCACCAACAACTTACAGCTTCTGACAACTCTGCGTCACTGCCGTTGTCTGAGTCACTGTAGTCTGCCAGGTACTCCACATCACTCTCCTTACACACTATCAGCAGGGCGCCCTAGGAGATTTTTTTAAAAACAGTCATTAGAAATATAAATGATGTCAATAGAAGCAACATCTTATACACTATGAGCAGGGCAATCTAGAGGATTTTTATAAAACACTCATTAGAAATATAAATGATGTCAATAGAAGCAACATCTTACACACTATGAGCAGGGCGCCCTAGGAGATTTTTTTAAAAACAGTCATTAGAAATATAAATGATGTCAATAGAAGCAACATCTTATACACTATGAGCAGGGCGCTCTAGAGGATTTTTATAAAACAGTGGTTAAAAATATAAATGATGTCAATAGAAGCAACATCTTACACACTAAGAGCAGGGCGCTCTAGAGGATTTTTTTTAAAAACAATCGTTAAAAAATAACTGGTGTCAAGAGAAGCAACATCTGCTGTTAAACTACTGTAAGAAAAATTCTTGTTTAAATTGTGGACTTGGTGAGCAGTGTCTCTTCCAGACTTTATTCTCCGGGGGTACAGGGTCGTTGGATATGTATAAAAGTATATATTTCCTACATAAATTCTAATTCGTTTAGGGGGCTTTATACGTTTTTCAGGGGGGAGGGGCACTGTCCCCTGAAGAGATGCCTGGAAGAACTGTAAGGTGTGCAAGCCCTAGCAATTGAATTACAAGTATCAAGCAACTACAAAGGCCTCATGTATTAAACTTTCTATCTAGGAGAGTTTGGAATTAAGAGAAAATATTCTTTGTGGCCAGATTTAGCTAGAGTAATGAGTATGAACCCCTAACTTAACATAATTTATTTTTTAAAATGATTTGTACATATTTCAAGCCTGCATTAATTAAAATTTTTATAACACTGTTAAATGAAGTAAGAAATCCATGGAAATTCTATCCATTTATGCAATTTGAGTGCTGTATAAAAACAATTTTTTTTTTAGTTTCTAGTGCAATTAAACTAAAAATTGACTGGATAAAACCAAAGTAAATTCTAGTGTTGGAATAAAGTGTAAGGGATAGTTGAGGAAGTATGACAAACTCAAGAGACCACCAGGAAACTTAAGGTGAGTAACAAAAATATGGAACTGACCTTCCCAGATGTGGACGAGCTGACATCAGATTCCTGGTCCTGGTCATCGTGAACGTTGTGTCCATCAGTGTCTGAGCTGGACTCAATCTCATATTCCACGGAGAAAGTGTCTGAGTCATAGGCCAAGACAACTGTGTCCTGTGGAGAGATAGAGGTGTGATAGAACCTAGTGAAGTCACAGAAAGTGAATCATAGGCCAAGACAACTGTGTCCTGTGGAGAGATAGAGGTGTGATAGAACATAGTGAAGTCAGAGAAAGTGAATCATAGGCCAAAAATAACAGTGCAAATAGCTGTCAAAGAACATAGATGAGAGTGCTAAAGTTTCATTCATACAAGAAGATTAACTTGATTGAAATAATCATTTTGATTTTAAGTATTAAGAATTTGCTATAAGTAATAAGAAACAGCGCAAGATTGTAAAAAAAAAAAATTAGTGTACAAAAATTAGATATTAAAACTAACTGACTATAAAAACTGAGCAAGATAAAAAAAATGTAAAAGATTTGTACTCACTCCCCCAGGCTGATCCACGCCATCCGTCTCTATATCATCTTCCCCCACCCGTAATCTGCCAGCACTGTCAGGTTCATCATAGCCAGAAGCTCCAGGGACTAAAGAGAGGACAGATAGCAAATGAAGTTTAAAATCCAGCTATAATTTGTAAATAATACAAGTTTTAAAACCTTTGAATAAGACTACAACAATGAGCTTAGCAAGAAAATTTTGACTTTAAACTTGTGAAATGCACAGTGAAAATCTTGAGTGTTATGAATTTTAATCAACAAACTGTGCATCAATATCCCTAATCCTCAACAACAGAGTAACAATAATCCTAATCTACTTCTATACTACTATTTCACTAATCCATATTAAAATCTGTACTATAATACTGATCATCCACATCTATACTCCAATATCCCTAATTTACATCTATTCAACTGTGCAGTTATTTCCTTAAACCTCAGCTTTAAACATATGCTAATTAAAAATAATGATTTCAATTTTTAAATACAATAAATTGAGGATCACTTATAGGTTAACTGCCCCTACTCCAAACTTTTTAACAAGAGTAAAATAATCCACAGAATAATTTCTAATCTATATAACAAGAGATAAGGATCAAACACTTATATTTTGAGGCTGTCGATTATGTATTTATTTATACCTGAAAATAGGTAAATAGAACTTTTATTTATTTAAAAAAAAATATAAATAAGATGATAAAACTAACAAATGACTCACCTTTGTGCCTCTCATCATCTGATGATGTGACAACCTAATAAAAACAAATATAAAAAAATATTTTCATGTTTAAATCTCGCTTAAGATGAAATAAATAAAAACCAAGATAATTCCAATAAATAATTCAAGGGATTTATCGGGCTGAGATAAGAAGTTTTAGTGTATTTAAACTAAATTTACACAGATTCAGTGGAAACTTTAAGTTTAAATCTATATATATAATTCTCTTCTGGGAGCCGTTAGAAAAAAAGCTGCAAGTGCGTGCCTTGCAGTCCCCTCTCTTCCTCTCTATCGCTACCACCCCCCCCCCCCCCACATGGTCAGGTGAGTTGTAGTTCACGCTAAATGTTTAGTTTGGTGATGGCTATTAGGGGCAGATAATTCAGTTTGAAACCATTTTAAACTTAGAGGAGGTAACTAAGAGGAGGGGGGAATGGGGGTTTAGTGTTTTAAAGCAAATATTTTCAGTGGCAGCATTGGTACTGTCGAATTCACAAATTATGAATTACTGATAAGTAGAAAAAACAACTAAATAGCGGCGTATGATACACCGCGGGTCGGCTCGTTTATATTAAGACCTTAATTCCAATCTAACAGCCAGCAGGAATCACATCAATTTTTCCCCCATGTCTTGTGAAATGTGCATCACCATAGGTCACATAATATTTAAAAAAAAAACCAGGGTAAAGTACTTTTAATAGATGTCCCAATTTTCTAAAAACTAGTTTTTAAAGATTTAATATATACCTCAGATTGCTTCAAATTTTCTTTTGTGATGATTACTACTGCGTCTGCAGCTTTAAACTTGGATGAAAATGATGAAAAAGGCAACGATGAAGAAGGAAATGAGGAAGACGAGGGCTGAGGCACTGAAAAAAAAAAGAATTTTCTATCATGTTCAATTTGTTAAAAAATATATTAAGCAGATGGAAAAATTAAAACAGGAGAAAACACTAATTTTTAAATGTTAAATTTTTTTATTTTTAAAATTTTAAAAGGATAGGTAGTAAAGTGAATAAAAATAAACAAGGGAAATCACTCATTTTAAAGTTTTATTTTTTTAACTTTAAAAGGAGAGATAGAAAAGTGAATAAAAATAAAAAACAACCAACAAACCTGATGTCTGTGATGAAAAAGTTTGGAATATTCTAGAGCCTGGTAAGGACGTATTCTGAAAAGGATCATGGTATTAGTTTTGGAAGTGTAGGAATATAAGAAAGTATAAACTTGATCGAGCTTTTAAGAGCACAAGACCTTTAGAGCCGATTCTATACCAGATCATTGAGTTTCATTTTTCTACAGTAATAAAGATTTTTAAACTCAAATCACCTGACGATAAATAAATCAACCAAAATGAAGGTTATTTTAAAGATGATTGACTTCTATGCAATATAGCCAAGTGTTAGTAGTGGCTCACTTGGGGATATTCCTGACTACACAATCAAATTATACACTTTGGTAAAAGAAACAGGTCAACTCTACTGTAACTTGTTCAGTGATTGCTAGGTTTGTATTAATTATTAAATTCACAGTTTGTTATTACCTGTAGAAATTGACCTAAACACTAAACAAAACCAAGTGATGTGATACAGCTAATAAGTTTAACAAAAACAGCTAAAAAATTCTATTGGTCAATACTCACTTTGTTGAAAGAATGCGGGAAATGGGATCCCCTGGATGTAATGCTATCTGTAACAGAACTGGTGCTCAGGTGGGAGGGTGCTGTTCTTGTGACGGATGGGGATGGTAATGTTTTTGAGACAGATGAGGATGGGTGTGTTGTGAAAGATGATGACGGTAGTGTTCTTGCACTGGAAGATGGTGTGCCTCTATTGGAAGAAAATGCTATGGTTCGAGTTGTGGAGGGGGTTGATATAGTTCGTGTTGTGGAGAATGGTACAGTTGTTGATGCAGTGGAGGAAGGTGAAGGTCTTGGTGCTGAGGGGGAGGGTAGTGAGGTGGTGGAGGGTAGCGTTGTGGAGGAGGGTAGAGCTGTAGTGGAAGGGGTTGGCAACATCCTTGAACACACTTCTCGAGCTACAAGTTGTCTACAGGTGCAATTTTTCCTGAACAAAGCTCTGGGAAAAAAAAGTATTGATAAAACAATGGAAATTAAGAGACACAGTTTAGAGATAATGGTAACTTTAGAAATCAAATTCTAAGTTATTTAATACAGGTCTTATTTTAAATTAACAAACTACTTATTGAACTGATTGGCTAGACTCAAACCCAAACATTCCCAAAATTTTGATCATCATTTTAACAGGCTCTACTAATACTAAGGGGGAAGTAAAAATCTGCAGCTTAGACCACGTGTTTTAGCCTCTTTAGGGGACTCTTTCTTTAAAATAAAAAAGCTGAACGGTATAAAATTTTTTTTAAATATGTATGATCACATAGGTACAGATTAAAATATATTTGGTAGTAGTCAGTGAAAAAGTGATTGTTTAACCCTTAGAGCGTGCCAAGCCACTATCGTGGCTTTAATGTTACATAACGCATAAGGCCACGTGGCCCGCGCTTTAAGGGTTAACAGTACCTTAATGAATAATCAAGCTCTAAACAAAAGCTTTTAAAACTGTAGTTTCAATCATGAAAATTTTAAAATTATTTGCTGAAATTTAATATCTGCAAGACAGCATTTATTTTTCTGTGATAAAAAAAAGATGAAAAAAAAAAGCTTAAATGTTTTTGAAAGATATCCTACATTCCAATGTCAGTATTTCAACACCTTGTAACATAAGCATTTATTTTTCTGTGATAAAAAAACGATTAAAAAAAAAAAAGTTAAAGTGTTTTTGAAAAGTACCCTACATTCCGATGTCAGTATTTCAACACCTTGTAACATAAGCATTTATTTTTCTGTGATAAAAAAGATGAAAGAAAAAAAAGTTAAAGTGTTTTTGAAAGATACCCTACATTCCGATGTCAGTATTTCAACACCTTGTAACAGTACTCACATGGCTTCATGTATTGTGAAAGACTCCACATTCAATGCTTTACCCAGCAGATCCCCACCACAGTGAACTATCCTTGGGTCTTGTAAATCATACAGGGTTCTCTCCCTTATGTACTCTTTAACATGTTGAATAATCTGTGAAAAAAACCAAAGCCTTGGATTTGGACTGTTGAAAAACATTGTTGCTTCAAACTAATCCACTGGTTATAAAAATTGTGTCAGATATACAATGTAATTAGAATATTTTTCTAACCTCTGCCATTGTAAAAGTCTGGCCTACTCCACCTCCAAGATGAATTACTTTGAGGAAATCAGGCTTTGGGGTTAGCTAAAAAAAAGTTAAGGTTAGCATAAATATATTTATTATTTCTACTTGAAAATTAATGGACTTCACTGTTAATGTATCAAACAGAGGAAAGGGGACATAAGTCACATAACTAGATCAGGGAACTAAACTTTTCAAATTTTCAGTAAACTTATTTGTTTTGTATGTGAATATTAAGTTCTAAAACTAATTCTAAAAAATTATTCCTAGGTATAAAAAAAAAATCCTAGAAAATACAGTTTTAAAAGCTAGTACACAATTATCGATTCACAAATATTATTCATTAACTACAAAGGACATGACAAAATAAATTGTACCTACATTATGATAATGTTAATTTTAATTTATAATGTCATGCTATCTAATAGTATCTATTGTCACTGTTGGATTTCTTAATTCATAAAATATGAATTAAAAAAAAACATTTTAAAAATATATTAATTGTAGATGAGAAGAAAGCAACTAATACCACTGGCAATTTGACTGTTGTCATTTCAGCTTCAACTATATACCTAGCAGGTACTGGCTTCTCAGAATTTCTAGGTGGGGAGCTACGTTGGTCAGGCTGTGAAATAAAGCATTCAATTGTTTTCTTTAAACTCTAATTTTGACACAAGTATAATTCAGGAATTAATATAACAGACAGAAATACTCTAATTTGTAAAGGATATTACAAGGGAGTGGCAACAAACAGCCAGAAGAAGGCTTTTTGTACTTCACTATATTTAACCCGCCAGTCAAATGTATAAACTTGGGCTTGTGCGCATACTTATTTTTAAAAATTTTCTTGCGTATGACACTTGACTTTCAAGCATTATTGAAGCTGTTTGGGTGGTCGAAGTGATTACACAGTGGCTGGTTAGTTTTCGTGACGTGGGTTCCATTCCTTTTGGCTGAGAGCTTTTTTCTTGTTTTTTTGCTTTTTCTTTCTTACTTTACGTTTAGGGTTAAGTTTAGAGTTAGGCATTAGGGTAGGTTTAGATGTTTGGGGTTAGGAATTAGGGATAGGGATTAGGGTATGGTTAAGGTTCAAGTTTAGTGATAAGGTTACATGTAAAAAAAATGAGTTCTATGTTGCATAAATATGGGAATTTAAGAATCACAGAAAAATGCCTTGCGGTGATTGGTCAGAGTACGAATAGCCATCATAGGGCTATTTATAGTGAAATACGATTTCCGCAGCCTATTACACAGTACATTTCAAGTTTTTTTTTTAAAGCCCAGCAACAAATATGTGGCAGAAAAAAACATTATGTACTAGAGTCACTAGTATCCTGCGTAGAAGTTTACCAGCTTTAAAAAATAAATTTTACGAAGTGACTACTAGGAAGAAGATTTTTCTCCCCAACGTCTCCACTTAGTCGGCAAAAGATAGCTCTGCGCAGTGAGCTATGGCTAGGGTTAGGGCTAGAATGAGGGTTAGGGATAGGATTAGGGATAGGATTAGGGCTAGGGTTAGGGATATGATTAGGGATAGGGTTAGGGATACGATTAGGGATAGGATTAGGGTTGGGGGTTAAGGTTCTGCGGTTGTAAACACACGCATGTGCAAAACCATCGAAAACATCGCCGTGATGGCAAGTCGTAGTTTCTCTCCATTGCGCTTGCGTATCTTAGTTATTCCGGCTAGCATCGGCCTAAATTTTAATAAAAATAAAACTTACAGCTGATGTGCTTCATTTTTTTTAAAAAATAGAACATATTTTTTTTAAGATTTTCAACTTTCAAAAGGTCAAACGATTTGCAGTATCAGTAACATAAGTTTAAAAAATTATTTAATGAAGAAATCTGGTAAAAAAAAATTTCTAACAATCTTGTCACTAAAACTAAAAACAAATATGGCCATGATCTACCTACATCTATATATACTATACTACTACTACAGTTACAGTATCTAGAATCTAGATCTACATTCTACACACCCATTCAGCAAAAAAGTAAAACACATTATCAAGCTTTTGTTTTTTTAAAAAACAACTCACTAGATTTTGAACAAATAGATCTAGATCTACATAGAATCTACTTTTTTTTCCTATACTTTTTATTACTAGACTAGATCTATTCTACTAGTATAATTCTACATTATAGAATCTAGATCTAGATCTAGATCTAGAATAGAATAAAAATTGAATTTTTCAATTTAGAATCTAACTGTCTAGAATTCTATATTATACAATGATTAAATGGCTTAAAACAGAAGCAAAAAATTTAACGATAAACTGAAATTTAAAAATGAAATTAGATAAAGATATTTGATAAAAATTACCACTGTCAACAGCATAGTAATTTGAATTGATAAATGCATGATGCCATTTCTGGTCTAGCCTATTATAACAATGTTGCTATTTCATAGGAGCTAAAAATAGCCCAGCTAGAAACAGGAAATAAAAGAAAGGAGTGGCTATGCTGAGGGTCAAAGGCATTTTTGAGGTCGTATTGACCTGTTGTTGACAGGCTATAAAGATATAAATAATGTCAGTGAGCCAATAAACTTCGACTATGGCTTAAAGATACAAAATAAATACATCAGCTGCTTCCCCAAAAATAACAATGAGTTCAACTGATGTTATAGACATTAAGAAGATTTGAAAACAACTATGCATCATCTCTATTTACTTTAAATAGGATTTACCCATGATATTTTAAAAGAAAAAAAAAAAGAACAAAAAAGGTGTATTTCTCTTATTAGCAAAACAGCTTTCAATTACCGGAGGTTGTAATCTGTCTGTGTCATCTGAAGTTGGTCTAGCACCCGACATTGCCAGTTGAACGTTAAATAGTTTTTACCACCACTGCCTGGAAAATACAATTTTCAAGTTTATTCTTCCTTTAGGCCTGATCATAGCCAACATAATAAAAACCAAGCTAATATTTTACTCTCCAAACAAAGAACAAAAATAAACCTGTGCACATGCACAATTACTGGTTTTCTATTCCACTGCTAGTCAAGTAAGCAATGCCAAATTTCATATATTCTAAATATTTACGCTTATTTTAATGTTGTTTCAAACTTCAAGACACTATTCAGTAAAACTTTAAAGCATTATAGCCCAGTGAATAACAAGACCAGAGTGCGGTCTAAGTGCTAAGAATTTTAAAACTAGTTTTAAAAGTTAAGCTGTAAGATAATTTATTTAAAATGTATTAGATCCAGCTCTTGATTTTCCAGACATCTAAATTAATTTAATAAATAAATATTATTAATAGGACCATTTGTTCTTATAAATATTTCATTACTTGTGTTAGTAAGTTGATGAATGTTTACTGTCGCTAGCCTGCTTTTTTTGTATACAATACCTAGACATGTAAAATTTCTAGATCTAGGTCTATACCAGGGGTTCCCAACCTTTTTTTTTACTCTAGAGCACATTCTAAAATATCGGTAGGGTGGCGGGCACCACCTATATTAAAGCGACAAACTCCTTCCAGAGGCGTAGCGACCCTTCCCATCACCCGGGGACAAAACTTTCGATTTGCACCCCACCCCCTCAAACTTTCGATTTGCACCCCCCCCCCCCCCCAAACTTTCGATTTCCATCCCCTTCAACCTTTCAATAGTGTTTATGAAAAAATTAAATTCTGTCCCTGTCGAATAGTGAGAGGCGAGCACATACGAATCGTTCGGCGGGCGCCATGGCGCCCGCGGGCACGGGGTTAGGAACCCCTGGTCTATACTATAATATAGTGTATATATTCTAAGTAGTAATCTACATGTCGCAAGTAAGATTAGGAGTCTTAGGCCAAACAATATAAATTTAAAAGTTAGGCTCTTTAAGGCCTAATTTTTATTTATTATGTTATAGGCCTAATAATTAGTTACATTATTACAAGTATTAGTATAAAAAGTATTATTCCTGTAGGCGCATAACGAGTTGGAGGAAATCTCGAACGAGCAAAAAGATCATTTCTGGGGAACACTTGTGAACGTTAGGATGCAACCACCACACCCCTCCATTGTACTCGGTTCTGTGCAATTCCTTCAAATTGGGTCCACAACATCCGGCTTCTTCTGCTTCTCCTACAGCTGACCATTTCCAAGTTTGTTTTAGCATTATATTTCTCTTTCCTTGGGGATTCCAATCTAGTGCCTGTCTGGTGATGTTGTTGGTTTAAGTTTATGCAAAGACAAAGTGTGTCCAATGCATCCCCATTTTCACATTTTGCATTCAACATTTGCACTTTTGTATTTCTTAGCTATTAGATAGGGTCTTGCCCAGTTTTTCTCCAGTTTGGTACTGGTAATTTTTTTTTCAGACCAACTGCTGATGTTTAATATCAATATGCAGTCGATACGTCAGCATCAGTTAATTATTAATGAATGTTTGAAGTTTGTTGTTTGTGTTACAAGTTACTAGTGTCTTTGTAGTTAGTAGATCTAGATCTAGTAAGTACTAAGTAGTAGTAGCTGCTAGATTTCTATAGGCCTAGAGATCTAGATCTAGTGATTCACAGAAAAGATTGTTGATGTTATTGTTAGTCATGTGTTAGTAGTAGTAGTTAGTTAATAATAGTTAATATATAATATATATATATTCTAGATAAATCTAGATCTAGATCTGATTCTAACTAGATCTAGCTAGATCTCTCCCCTGCTAGCCTAGATCTAGATCTGGATGTAGATCTAGAATCTAGCTAGATCTAGATCTAGCCATTTTTTTTTTTCTAGGCTCAGCTCACTCAACTCACTCACTCAGTCACTGTCTGTAGTGTAGGGCACTAGGGCCTATCTGTTTAGTTTATAATTAATAATTAATTAGGCCTAGGCTAAAATAATATAAAGTAGTCTATACCTCTAAAATTGTCGTGTTTCAGATTAAATCATTAATAATTTAAGTGGAGGTTGTGGCAAAATTATATAAACAAAACTACGAAGTTTTATCATACACCATCAGAAAAGGGAAATCTAAACACCGAAACTGCATGCAGTCGAAATCTGTCAAAAGAAAGCCTATTTAGATCTATGTTGAAATATTGAAAAAAAAAAACCAAAACAAACAAACAAAAAACAACCCACTTACTGTTACAGTATTTAAACTAGATCTATAATCTAAATTAACAAGTGTAAATAAATGTTTAAAAAAATATTATTCACCTATGTTGTCTTTTGTTTAGTAGATCTAGATCTATTCTAGATCTATGTTACTGCAAAAGAAAAAAGATCCGATTAGGCAATAATTTTTCGAGAGTTAAATGATAAATAAGCGGAGCAGAGTTGATGAGCTTTTTGGTTTTATATTTAACAACACATCTTGATCTAGTTTAGTTCGGAGAAGTAGTGAAAAAAAAGGGGGGGGGGGGGGGGGGGAGTGCGGTAAAAACAAGTCCGACCGTACATATCAATATGAGATGTTGGTAAAAATCATATAAGCCAATATATAAGCCTACCATATCAGAGGTGTACAGAAGCGTCAGGCTGAAACTGCTCTTCTTTATTAATGCTTAAATGGAAATGGCTTGCGCGAACACTGTCCGATAAACTAAAATTAGATAATGGTTTGGCAGCCAATTTTTTTTATTTTACGTATAGATCCACGGGTTGTCGATAAAATGTCACAGTGACACAGACTGAACTTTCCTTCACCGCGCAAAAAGTTCATATAGACATAATGCCTTTTTAAATGGGCCAACGGTTTATATTTGATTTTGATTAGCGTTTACATTGTGCCTACATAATTTCTATTTATATGGCAAGCATATATTTTATTTACAGGCTTATTATTTGCGGGGAAAAATAAATAAGTAGGCTATAGTTTTTAGTAGGCTAACTACAATTTAAAAAAAAAATTATAGCCATCAGCCAATTCGTTTTTGTGCGATGTTGATGATCGAAGAGGCAAGTTAGGGCAGGGGTCTGACATACAAACAAGTTCAGACACGTTTTCGGGAAACCCCAGTGACTGCGATGAGCAACAAAAATAGATCGAATAAAATGAAAGGTCAAGAACCCTTGGGTCATAGGTCACTCAAATCAAAATGGCTGCTCCATTGATGTCTTTACTATCCCCAGGCACAATAAAACATGTTGTTCCATGGAAAAACAGGTAAATCTAGATTTCTAGATCCAGGCCTCTGCCAGCACATGTGTTGAAAAGCTAACAATATTGGCCATTAAATTAAGAACAGTTTATTTGAGTTTATGTGTTCACACATATATTGATATTTGCCTGCAGTAGACGCGAGTGGATTCTAGAATTCGGTAATCTATCCGCCGCCGCGTACGTAAAATCGCCCGCGACTAGAGGAGTTTACACTTTTCGGACACACACCAAAAATTACGTAGGACCGAACACTTCGTCGGTTTTTGGCTCATAGAAACTTTAATTAGCATGTCTCACGCGAAACCACGGCGCCTGCACGTAAACTGTTCATTTATGAACACTTCCGTGTCAAGTACTTCCGTTTCCTTTCTCAAGAATTATTTTTAGAAATTTTTTAACGTTGCATGGTACGCACATTTCTATTTTTACACCAGCCGGATGAAGTGACCTAGGGTTGGACTTAGGGGCAAAACTTGAACCAATCAATGCTTAGCTAAAAGGTTACACTATAAATAGCTTCTATATATGTATGGAACATCGTAAATGTCAAGGTTAATGGGGTTTTTTGTGCTTGAACAATAAAAAAGGGGTGTTCGCTAACTTATTTGGCCTTACATGGGATCGGACACCAACACAAAAATATTACTAAATAAGAATTTAGAGCATAAAAGGGGCTGGTTATTGAAGGGAAAGGGTCAAAATAAGGTCAAGAAGGCAGTGGAATGCAAAAGAGGAGGGGGAATCATGTGACCTGGCTGGCTTAGCAGCGTACTGCGCGAGCCGCAATGGCTGAATGGGATGAACTTTGGGAGTGTGGGAAAAAGGTTTTATACTATTAAAATTACCTCACAAACAATCAATAACACAATATAAATGCATATAATATATGTTTTTATTCATTAAATTGACTTTAAATTATTCTAAATGAACAAAAAGTGCTATGTCCGATGACGGGTAAAGGTGTCCGAACACATGTAAAACTGTATTACATGTGTTCGAACACACGTTAAGACCCCCCAGTCACTATAACAAGAATAGCTTAAGTTCTATGCGTATGAATACAAAATGACACACACATTATTAAAGTAGAATGGTTGCGGATAGATATGATACTTTTTTTTGTTTTCTATGTTAAGCGGTTACTGAATGAGACCGCATGGAATTTTTACGTTGCGTTTTTTCGCTATGTGTGTCCGAAAAGTGTAAGCTCCTCTAGATCTAGTAATGTGAAAAACAGGTGACTCCTTACATTTTAATAATTATTTCACATTTTGAGGAGGATTTATGTTTTGAAAAATACAAAAATGTTTCCTTGTTTCATTTATGTACCTGTTTTGAAAAAATTGAATTAAAACTTTTCAGTAGGCTTTTCGACTCGCCACCATCTTGCGATCCAAACTGCATCCGGACTATTTCATACGTACTTGAAAAAATTCGCCGTTCCAATGAATGTTAATTCTAGCCATCAGAATCGAAAAATTAAATATATTCGATACTATCATATGCGTTGAATTTTATCATTTAAATGTTTCATTGATAGAAGTAGCTGCCATTTTACAATACTCAATACTGAAAGCAGCCTAACGATGATAGCGAAAATCGATCAAAACCGCGCAGTACCGAAACGCTACTTTCAGAACTAAATTTCGGCTTTAAAAAAAGAGAATAAGTATAGGAAACGAGTAAATAAGTAATGCCAAACCATTTTGATGGATGGAAATGTTGGTTTTATGGGCTTTAGAGCTCTTTATATACGAGATATTTCTCCTTGCGTGAAGTGATGATATAGATCTACGCAATTTTAATAATGGCGGCCGAGTTAGAATTTTCATGACGGCCCATAGGCATGAAATAAAAAATTCGCACATTATTGCTGTTTAACAGTGTTTATTGAATTGGCAAGATCTAACTAATCTAAGCTTATAACATAGTTTTTTATGGATTAAATAAAATTTAAAGCATTGGAATTAATAGTCCCATTCATTAATAGACTCAATAGGGTAAATAATAATTAAAATTTTAAATAGGTCCTAGATCTAGATCTAGATTTAGATTCCTCTAGATTCTAGATCTAAATAAATATTGCTCTCCAGTCTACATTTTTTTTAAAGTCAAAAAGAAAACAGAAACAGTAACACTTTGAACAATGTGATTTAATTTTACTTAAAAATAACAAACTAAACAACAGTAATGTTTTTTTATATAGTAGGTTCAGGTCAGCAAATAAGGCAGCTGTCTATCCTTCGGTTGCCACACATCTCGTCTGTTACACTATTGATTAGCAATCAGTGGCGTAGCCAGGATCAGTGTTTCTTCCAGACTTTTTTCTCCGGGGGGGGCACTTGAAATCTTCGGGGGGGGGGGGGGGGGGGGCGGTAAACTTTCTTCGGGGGGGGCGGACACTGCTAAAAGTATATATTTTCTATATAAATTATGTAAATTTCATTTCGTTCGGGGGGGGGGCGGTAAAATTTTTTCGGGTGGGCAAAGCCCCCCCCCCCCCCCCCCGAAGAGACGCCTGGAAGAAACTCTGGCCAGGATCGTCTCAAGGGGGGGGGTCCAATTTTTACCCGGGGACAAACTTTCGATTTGCACCCCCCTCAAACTTTCGATTTGAACCCCCCCCCCCTCATACATTTTCTATATACCGAGGGGTCTATGGGGGGGGGGGTTATGACCCCCCGTAACCCCCCCTGCCCACGCCACTGTTAGCAATCCTTGGCTACTTATTAAAAGTAGCCTACAACTAATGCTACTAATATTTAAATACTTCAACATAATCCTAAACATATCATATTTCAGTATGAGTATAATATCCAGGTATTATTGATGCAAAATTTCAGTCCCACCCCCTTAGATAGACTTCATTATATGTGATTGTCTTTTTTTTCTAGCATGCATTAAACTTGTAAGTTTCTATTTCCAACATCCTTAATAGCATCTACGTGCTAAGTTTTATCTTTATATCACCAATAACAACATAGACATGCAGTATGAAAAGTGACATGTGACAATCATTGTAGAACTGCACCACACACCTTAATTGGGCTTAATTAAGTTAATTATAAATTCTTTTCCTTTAAATTGATCTTTATTTCACTTGCATATACCTGTTGTCTACACCCTCTAGCATCAGTATGAACATTTTTAACATTATATGTTTAATAACAACAATGTTATACAAACTCAAAGAAGGACACCAAATATTTTGCAGCTTTACTTGAACATATAAACTGTTTTACCTAACACTTTCAAAATTCATATAAAAAAAACTACTGGGCATAGAATGATAATTTTTGTAGTTTATTAAATGGCAGATTCTCTTCTTGATTCTATGTAAATTTTATCATTCTGTGTTAAATAGAAACATTTTTACCAAAATGCCTACTTTTCAGTAATAAATGAAGACTAGCAATGTTTACAACAGATGCAACCATGCTCATTTACTATAGCAGCCATCTTGTTTATTTTTTTTATAATAAACTTATAGCGCAAGATTCAGGGGAAGCCACTCGAACTTACAGATGCCACTTTTTATATATTATATAGCAAATCCTGCTCGCAAACACTGCTGTTTAAAGATAATTTCTTGCCTATATTGACATTATTGATATATTTAGCCATTGATTTAGTTTTATTATTCATTTATCTATAATATTTGACACAAATATATCCCAATAAACTTCTATTAAAGTCTTGACAATGAGTTAACTTTTGTGTACATTACTAGCCGCTGGCGATTTTATGTACCTAAAACGATAGATTACCTTATTTTCAATTTATTGTATTTGGACGAAATTTCTGAATTTCAAGTTGTCCCTATGCTATGAGTAGGGAATCCCGGTCAAAACGTCCCCCCAGCCTGGCATCAACCAACCGGCAGGCTTGTTGCATTGAGTTAAATATAAACTCAATACAATAATATAAACAATCTCCTTTCGGTTCAGACATTTTTCTCCAGGTGGTGGGGGGACTTTAATTGATGGTGGGCACACGCTGGTTTTACTCTTGCCTTAACTTAACTCTTCACTTCTTAGTATATATTCGAGCCAACCCATTGCTAGCATACACCGTTATTTAGTTGTTTTATTTTCTGGTTTTTAGTAATTCATAATTTGTGAATTCGACAATACCAATGCTGCGACTGGAAATATTTTGCATTGAAACACTATCATCAGTACTCAGTAGCTCGTGAAGGATGATTATCCTCCCCCTCCCTCCCTCCCCCCCACGCCAAAGTAGTGATGTCTGTGATGACAGTTTACAGACAACAACGAAAAGATCAAGCAGAACTTGTTATATTCCCTTAGTTTCAAATTGTTTTAAAAACTAAATTATCTCCCCCTAATAGCCGTCATTAATTTGACCCTTCACAACAACTGTAAACAATCGGCGTGAACCACAGCTCACCTGAGGTGGGGGGTGATAGAGATATGGTCTGTTCAGCATGCCTGGAGAGCGATTAAGGGCTCGTAAGTGGTGTCCCGCGTGGTCCCCATGTAGAGGATTATATATATATAGATTTTGTATATACTAGTTTGGAGGAAGGGGGGTGGAGGGAAGAATGCCTGAATGAAATAAACTATGCATAATGCATGGGAGAAGGAAGGATACTATGCTTCTAAAAAAACGTCAATTAAGTTAGGGTAGATCCAAATAGATTTATTAATTATATAAATGATAATAAGAAGTAGACTACACAACTTAATAAATCTAGCTTTGATGTATGAATCTAATTATTAGGCTTGTGGGCCTAGGCCTATTATATAATGTAGCCTATACATTAATTTATGGAAGGGTGTGGCCTAGAGGTAGAGCGCTAGACTGCTAACCCGAAAGTCTCTAGTTCTAATCTGGGTTGAAGTCAGTGGATCATCATGAGTCCACCCAGCTCTGATGGGTACCTAACACAAGTTAGGGAAAGTAAAAGCAGCTGGGCATAGTGGTGATCACACTATGGGACTATCCCTCATATGCTTAGGTACAAAAAATTACTTTACTTCATCTGCCCAATTAATCGCTGTTCTAAAAAGGAATGTTTATTTTATAAGCTATATATTAATTGAATTAATATATCAAAACAACATTATTATTTTTATTTTGCAACTGAAATTTCTAGTTTGTTATTTTAAACTATTTGCTTAAAGTGAGCTCCATTATTTCCGCCTCCATTTATTTCAGTGTTATTATAAAAAAAATACTAATTAGTGATTTTGGAAAGATAAGGATACATAGATCTCATAATTTTTATTTTATTACTGCTGTCCATAAAAAAAATACTTAATAAAAAACTGGTAAGTGACATGTATTAAACTTTAATGCTATTTTTTTTGTATCCCTTTCTAAACTAGGAATGAGTTTTTGAATGTCTACAGTGATTTATACAGTGATGATGTTAATCTTCAAGAAAATGCCATAAACAGAATTGCTGTTTGGAAGTCAAGGTTGGTTACCTTTTTTCTTGACTACTTGGGTACTCAATAGCAGATTCCATTTGCCACCTTTTCCTCCCCCTTCCCACATAACTAATCCCAGTTTTTGAAGTGTCAATAGTTAAGTATTTGACCCATATGATGCCAATGGTAATGTTAGATCTACTCTTGTAGGATTTTGTGAACTAAGTTTGCACTTGTTCACTTCACCATTTCACTACTGGCCCAACTAACAGCCCCAATATTATTCATTGCACTAGGAAAACATAAAAATCATCAATGATAATTTGATTGTATAATTAATTCTATTTAACCCTCCAAAAAATTTCTGAAAAAATGTAACTTAATTACGGTTGTATATAAGCTACAATAATTTCAATGATTTCAAATTAAGAAGTATACAATTAAAAATGCTTCTTTTTTTCAGTTACTGTTGTTAAAAATGAAAACTTAACATTTTTATAATTGTTTAAAACAGATAATTTTGTTCCTATTCATGTTTTTAAAAAATCACACATAAGTGATAGGGTGCCACTCATTTTGTATGTAAAACATTGATGTTCACTTTTTAAATATCTGACTTCAGGGCTGGAAGCAAGCTGTCTGTGGCTATAGAGAGCAGTGCTATGCTGCTGCAGTCATGTATGGAGCATGAAAAAACATTGAAAGAAGGAAAACTTCGGGAGAAGGAAAGCCAACTCAGATCTATTTATAGTTTAGCTCTGATAAGGTTGGTGATTTTGATACTTATTGTTTTTATCCTGTTCATCTACAGTTACCAATGATATTGTTTGATACACATTGTTACTATGTTTAATTCGGTTAAAGTATATTTCAGTCCTGATAAAGTTTAAAGTAAAGTTCCCTTTAAGAACTTGATGGTCCATGGGGCAAGTGAAGTAGAGTTCACCTGTTTCTGTGACCTTGGCATATGAAGAGATAGTGTAGTCAGCTTTGATCAGGCACATTTACTTTCCGTAATATGCGTTAGTTATGCATCCAAGCTAGTTGGACTCTGGGACTTTCTACTGACCTGAATCCTGATCAAACTCAAGACTTTAGAGTTAGTAGTCGAGCCCCTTACCGCTTGGCCAAAACGTCCTAAATATATGTTATTTAGATATTATTTGCTACTGTAAAGTTTTATACCTAATAACAAGAATAGTAAGTTTGGTAAAGGGAAAAACCAAAGAAATAAAAAAAAAATCAGAGCACACACAGAAGAGTTATGGAAATAGTGAAAAAATAATTTTTCAGATTTAAGAATTAAGCATCAGCGGTTGTTTCTTTTAATGCCCATGTAAATATGTTATAATATATTGTTTAGTCCTGATAAATTTTCCAATTAAAAAAAAATAATTTTTTAAAACTCTTTTAATGGCCTGCAGGTTTGTGAACCATGTTACAGAGAAGGGACAGACAAAAGCCACAGCACAGCCAATACATTTGATTGCCAGAGATGTTAGTCCACCTTTTTATATTGCCTTTGGTCTAGCTTTTTAATACTTAAAATATCTTAAAAAATAATCTTTAAAATATGAAGCAGTTACAAAATCAAAAGTAAATATACCCTTTAAGACCTAAACATCAACAGGGCAGATGATGTAGAGTTCAAGTTTCTTGACCTCTATGAAGGGATGGTGTGGTCAGCACTATGCCCAGCCACCATTACTTTCCCTAACATGAGTCAGGTTCCCATCAGAGCTGTGTGGACTCAGGGACCTACCTAAGTGCGGACCGAGATCTGAAATCGAGACCTCCATGCTAATAGTCAACCAGCTAATTAATAAAAATAAACTAGCTTTAAATACTACACAAATGCTCAAGATCACTTTGTAAACGTATTTAGTTTGGCATCCCTGAATGGATTGTACGGCTGCGTCACGAGGCCACACATGCTTCCCTCCCTTGCCTGGATGCCCTGGCCACAGGGGCACGCTGGGCATTGGGGTACCTGAAAGACCAGTTCTGGGCACAGCAAGTCCCAGATGCTGACAGTGAAGAGTGTGACAAGGACGTGGTGGCCAGGTCTCCAAGATTTGCTGACATACGCAGAGCTTTCTATGACTTTCAGAAAGGCAGGTACCAGGTGAGTCAGAGGTTACTGGGAACGTTTTATAGTAACTGGTGACCGTCCATAAATGACATCATACATTTATAGGTAAGGGGGGTTTAGAGTGGGGAGGGGTGGAGGTCAGAAAGCATAATGTAGAGTTCATACTTTACTTTATTTCATGTAATATAAAAAAAAGAAAATTTTTCTTTTCTTCAAGGTTATTGTAGATGGGGTAGAGTGCAACTTTTTAGGGTGGGGGGGGGGGGGGGGGGGAGGGGGGCATTTCAGCTTCATTTGATAAGTATTTCTTTTTTTTAATTAATGTTAAGCAATAAAATATGTAAAGATAATTTATAACTTCTTTTTCACTCAGATTTTTATCGTAACATCCATAAATTGTTCCCCAAAATATATGTATCAACGTTTTATTTTTAGTTAAAAACACTTTGTACATAAAACCTTAAAACAGTGATTTACATCTGTAGGAAATCAGTTCTGAAGATAAAGACAAAGAGTCTGGGGATCACACAGAGGTTCTAAAAGTTTTACACAAGTATCTCATCAAAAACAGGTAGCTAGTGTCCACATGTTTTTCATCAGAGCTCAAACTTTTTCTTGTATTTTTTACATAGCATTTATACTTGTGCCATGTATACTATACATGTCTAAAAAATTATTTTCAAAAAAGTAAGTATACATGTTCCTTGGGAAAAATGTTTTCATATAACATTAACTTGTTGCAAGTTTATGTTTAAATGTGGTGTAAGAAATATGAGTTCACCAAAATTTTTAAAATGTTTGATAAGCAAAATTTCTTATCTATCACTGAAAAACTTAGTAATAATTGATTTATATGGGCTGGGAATATAGGATAATACACTAATTTTTTTAGGTGGTCAGTCAAATTTCAGCCTTTCATTTTAGTTTTTTTTTTATTTTGTCTCCATTTTTTAGGTTACAATTTATAATTTTCAGGGTTTTCTTTGTAGTATTATAAACTATTGAATCAGTGTTTACTCTTATGATTAAGCTTAATACTATGGTCAGTACTTCATGTTTTGATTTTGTGATTTATAAAATACTGTACAAATGTTTTCTTTTATAGGTTAAGATTCATCAAATGCCTTCTAGAGGATGGTATATTGATATCAACAGAGGAACAGCTAGTAGCTTTGGGAATATCCAGCTCAGGTGAATGATTTACTTCATGTACTTCAGTGCTGCTACACTAAACACCTGCCACAGCTGCTTGTATCGAACACTTATTATATTGGCTGGCATACTTACTTACTTACTTAATCCTTGTCACTCCCTGTGGAGTATAGGGCAACAACAAATCTCCGCCATTCAACTCTGTCTTGGGCGAGCCACTTTAGTTCATGCCAGGTTTTGCCAGTAGCCTGCACTTCTTCTTCCATCTCTCTCCTCCATGTTCCCAGTGGTCTTCCTCTTTTTCGCTTTCCATGCGGAGTCCACTTCAGCGCCATGTTGGGGAGTCTTCTTTTGCTCATGCGTAGGACATGGCCCAGCCATCTCCATCTCCTCATTCGAACTTCTGAAACAATGTCGTTTAATCCTGTCCTTCGTCATATTTCCTTGTTCGGGACTTTGTCATCCAACTTTATTCTGAGGATGCGTTGGAGGGATCTTCTTTCAAATCCTCTGAGTCGGCTCTCTCCTTTCTTGTTTAGTTTCCATGACTCTGCAGCATAGAGGAGTACAGAACATACATTAGACTTGTAGATCCTTATTTTAGTTCTCTGCTGCAGTGAGGATGATTTAAGATCTTAGCGAGTCTGTTGAAAGCTTGTGCTGCCATTTCTATTCTGGTGGCCATTTCTTTCTCCAAGCTTGCCATTTGCTGATATATCGCTGCCAAGGTACTTAAAGTCTTCGACCTCTTCTAGCTCTGCTCCAGTCGCAAAGGTCTTGAGAGCACTTTTGGTTTTTATTTTCATTAGCTTGGTTTTTCCGGAGTTTATCTTTAGCCCATTGGCTGGCATAAGTGTTTTAAAAATATATTTTTTTGGCATATAAGACAACACTCCCCAACCTTTTCAGTTAAAAAATTGTGTTCATTATCTTTGCTTTGCTGAACAAATCACCACCTTGCCTAAACCAAAAAAATATGTTCATCATTAAATTTTAGCTTTACTGAACAAATGTCCACCTTGTCTAAACCAAAAAATATGTTCATCATTTTAGCTTTACTGAACAAATCTCCACCTTGTCTAAACCAAAAAAATATGTTCATCATTTTAGCTTTGCTGAACAAATCTCCACCTTGTCTAAATAAAAAAAAATATGTTCATCATTTTATTTTTACTGAACAAATGTCCACCTTGTCTAAACCAAACTTGTTCATCATTTTAGCTTTACTGAACAAATCTCCACCTTGTCTAAACCAAATATGTTCATCATTTTAGCTTTACTGAACAAATCTCCACCCACTGTGCCTGTGGAGATGGTCAACTTCTGGCGGCCATTGTTGAAAAAACTTGACAATGCTGGTGCTCTCCCCTTCATGCTGCAGATGGCCATGTTTTCTGTGACATCTGGTGAAGGTCTGCGCAACTACCAACTTGTGGCGTGGATAGCTTTTATTCTATCTCAGTGTGAAGGTAATTTAATAGTTTAACTACTTTTGTAATACTGAAAAGTATCACATAACCACTTAAATAAAAAAAAAAATTTCCCAACATAATGAACTATTGTGTGTCAACATTTAGCTTGTGTTTAATATAACCCATTGACTCCGAAATCTGCCTGCTTTTCTTTCTGGGTGTGCTTCCATTAAACTAAGAACATTCTTCAAGGCAGCAGTTGTTAATTTTAGAGTTTTCTCTACTAGATGAGTTTGCTTTATATATTTGGAAACCAAGCTCAATTCTTTTGTGCTTGCAGTCTTGCGTTCTAACACTCTCCAGTCTATCACAATTATCTTCAGCTTTAGTAATTTCATTTTCACTGTAGGTTATTTGTTTTTTAGTTTAACATTAATGTTAATTAATTTTTTAAGTCATTAAAATAATTAGGTTAGTTCAAGTAGTATTGATTACTTTTAGTGACAGGTACTTGGTATTACTGGTGACATCATGCTAGCAAGTATTTTCATTCTTGAATTTGAGCCAGTTTGTTAAGATGATCTCATGGTCAATGTACATCTGCCATTGTTGTATCTTTAATGAGTACTTTTACACAGCTGAGTGGAAAAATCTTGAACAGGGACGAACAGGACAGGGTACAAAGTATAAACAACATTCACCCCCATTCATTTCCCTTAACTCATTCACAACAGCACTAAATATTTGAAATGAAACAAAATTAATTCTCATGATTGTGCTCCTGATAATTGTTTTGAATTTTTTTCAGGTTCAAAAATAAGGAGGAAAAAGTCCAAGTCAAGGAAACATGACTCCCTGTTTAAATCCCCTGTTGCCATGCCAACTAAAACATTGTTGACAGCTTGTCTACAAAACATTAATGGCTTCACAGCTCATTTGTTGAAATAGTAAGTAACATATACTTATCGTTTACTTATTTCAATGCTAAGTTCTTACATTAATTTTATCAGTGATTCTTAAGCCTCATTGTCTTGTTATTGGTTCAGCTAAAAAAGTTTTCCTCTTTATGTATCAAGGCTTGATTTTATAAACATTTCTGTTTTATTTTATAGTCTTGCAGATAAAGAGAGTTTAGGTGCTGCAAGCTATTCTAAACTGCTGAAACTGCTGGACATTCAAACTAAAAGTAATCTAGATGTTTCCTCTTCTGAGGATTCAGACACTGTCTATACAATTGAAGGTTGGATTGCTACACATTCTTTAAAACAAATCACACTTTTTAATATTTTAAAACAGACATTTTGTGTTAAATATTTGTTTTTATAATTTACACATTTTTACTGATTTATCCTTTGTTCACAGTTAAAACAGAAATTTTTGTTCATTTGTTTTGTTTTACAAGGGACATATTTTAGTCAAATAATACTTTTTTCATATGTAAAATTATTTGTTTTGTTCATTTTTGTGGTCTACATTAAATACGCTTTATATAACTTAACAAAATATTAGCTTGACGTAGCACCTTGGAGTTAGAGACCGAGTCCACTTTTAAAAAAAAATCTTTGATTAAAATAATTTACATGTAACATTAGTTATCTGAAATCAAGTAAAATGAAAGGCTATATATAATTTAAAAAACATTATTTTTTTCAGATCTGAAACAAGCCAAACAAAAGCATGTGTCTCAATTAACCTCCAGTACAGTGCACAGCATACAGACTAGCATGGAGGAGAGTGGCATCCCTTGGAAAATTTGCACTGGTAAATAGTTTTTAACATCAGCTTGTTAAAGTCAGTTTTGTTCTTGTAAATTTTTTATAAGAATCTTTAAGTAAATTTTTTACTGTACATATTTTATTATCGGATTTTAAAGCCAACTTTGTACCGGTAAATATTTTATCATCAGATTTTTAAGTCAACTTTGTACTAGTAAATATTTTTTAAGAATCGCTAAGTAAATTTTGTACTGTACATATTTTATTATTGGATTTTTAAGTCAACTTTGTACTGGTAAATATTTTATAAGAATCTTTAAGTAAATTTTGTACTGTACATATTTTATTGTTGGTTTTTTAAAGTCATCTTTGTACTGATAAATATTTTAGAACATCAGATTGTTGAATTTACTCTTGTGCTTGCTAAGTCTAAATTATGATGCCATGAATTTTAATACTTTTTACTGATAAAAGAATCTTGGGTTTAGTTATTATGAATAGACTGCCATCTCAATTTACACACAGCACTACACAAAAGAACACCACATTAGACTACACTACACCACACAACACCAACAACCAACACAAGTTACAACTCACACACAATAAATATTGTATTTACCATTACCCTTAATTGTTTATAACTTGAATTATCTTATTGGCTATACCATAATTATTATTATGTATTATGTAAGGCTAAAAAAGATTAACTTAATTGTATTTGACTATTATCACAATTGTTTTTTCCATTTCCTCTTAGACCTAGTGGATTGGTCCAACGTGCCTTTAGGTGTCATCCCAACACATAGCCTTAATAACGAGGAAGATGATGATGAAGAGGCAGATCTTAACACAGATGACAAAACTGACGGGTACAGCAAGGAGGCAAGCAGTGAGGAGCTGAGTGACTCAGATGACGCAGGAGTTGGGAGGAAGAGGATCAGTAAGGAGGACGTCAACGACAGCAAGTCAGTACAATTTTTTTTTTTTTTACAATTTTTAAGTAAAAAATATTTTTTTTTTTCACTTTATGTAAAGGAATAATTTTTATCATATGAGTTTAAGCAGTAGATAAGTGAATAACTCTGACATATTGGTCTGTATGGAGATAAGTTTATCTGTTTTATAATATGGCAAAAAGATGGATTGTGTGGTCAGCACCATGCAAAACAATCTTCCTCCCCCAACTCAAAGTCATTTAAGCAGGGTAAATACATTGACATACAAACTAGAGCAGAGGAACCAAATTCTCCACTGTTGGGTTGGCTGGTGGGTGCTCTACAACTGGAGCTCACAATCCCATAAATGTTGATTGTTTACATTTGTTCTTTTGATTACATAAATGTTAATGTTGATTGTTTACATTTCATTTTGCAATGACAATAATGTAAATGTTGATTGTTTACATTTGTTCCTGTGATGACAAAAATTTTTAATGTTGATTGTTTACATTTCATTTTGCAATGACAATAATGTAAATGTTGATTGTTTACATTTGTTCCTTTGATTACAAAAATGTAAATGTTGATTGTTTACATTTGTTCCTGTGATGACAAAAACATGCGTTTTTAACTGTTTAATTTTGTTTCTTATAGTTCAACACCAAAGCGGACAAAGTTCATCGTTGAAGATGATGGCCTCTTATAAATACTCTGTTGTATATTTTAGTTTTTAATAAATGGATGTTTCTGTCAGTTATGGTGTTTTTTTTTCTACTGTATTTTTCAAAATGTTGTTTCATGTGTATGATGTTAGATGTAAATGATACCTGAAGTGTATGATGCATGCATAATGTGTGTTATGTGTTTGTTTGATGAATATGTAAAGTGTTTGATGTCGATGTGGTTGCCAAAAATGTGCAGGCGGAAAACTGCGCAAACAGAAAAATGCGCAAATACAAACTAATTGTACTAATACACTTAAATTTTGTCTCATTTAATTGAACTAGGTTTTATTATGCTATGATCACGTTGTCACTCTTTGTTAATGTCTATAAATGCTCGTTTTATGAAAACGAAAATGCCCTTGCTCACTTTTTGATGTGTGTGATGTTTATAATTTGCTACTGTTCTGTGAGGATTGACTTTCTTAGTTCTTTAATTGTCATCAAGAGCTAAACATATTGTCATAATGTATGAGATATTAATTAGTGTGAACAGATCTTCTTTTTCATTTGTATTTAACATAATTGAACAAGTAGGCAGCATTAGTTGTTCTTAATTGAAAAGAAACAAAGATGCATAACCAGCAGTTAATTTATTTTGTAATAATTAGATTACATGGCTAAAAAACAACATGTAAACTTCCCTTTATCAACATTTTAATACTAACCCAAAAGTAATGAGTGATGTCCCTTAAAAACATTTTAAAACCCAAGAGGTATAAATAGGATAAACATTGACCTCATTTTGTTAAACTTAAAGCCTTCACAACCATCTTAAAACTGCTGCGTTTAATAATGTGGATGACAGCTCTTTAACAGAGTTAACCACAGCTCAAAAATATTAAGACAGGCACACTAAAATAAATTATTATGGTTAGTCCAATTTTTTATACTGCTCAGTAGCTAAGGAATGGTAATATGATTGTAAAAAAAAATTAAGTAATCAGGGCGACTTCTCTTATAAAAAGAATGATACTTAATATTTAGCAGAAGGCTAGTACAGGGGTCGGCAACCTGCGGCTCGCGAGCCGCATGCGGCTCTTTTGATATCAAGATGCGGCTCTCCAGCTCCTTAAACAAATACTAATAATCTTAATAAAAAAATAAAATATATGACATAAAAAAAATGTTAGTGGCTCTTTAAAGCCAGGAAAATTTTGAAAATTGTAACTTTTGGCTCTTCCGCTTCAAAAGGTTGCCGACCCCTGGGCTAGTAGGTAGTATTCACACAAATAATGTTGATCTCTTATTTTGAATGTGTCTTAAAAACTATAAGAACATAAAATTGATGTGAAACTTGATTTTACAGCCCTTATATTTATAATAACAATATTATAATAGCCAGTATATGTCAAGTAACGGGTTCATGTTAAGTAACAGGGGGGGGGGGGGATGAGAGTGGTGAATTTCCTTAAAGTTATATTTACGGTTTTTAAGAATAAGAAAAATATATTCATGAAACCTTTATGTAGAATTAAACACTTAGAGGTGAGTAACTTATTTTTAAAGACAAACCCAAGAAGTTAAAAAAATGAAATTAAACCGTAGAATTAAGACCCTTATGAGTAGCTAAAAGTGACTTCCCTTCAATTTAAATTTAACAGTAGCCTAACAAATGTAGGACAGTCGACAAAGCGGAAGAACCCGTGCATGCTTTAGACGAGGACTCCAGAACTTTATGAACGGGAGGCAGGCAGTAGCCGTAGAATCGCACCATCCCAGGCTGCATCAGTCTTAGACAGCACTTCTGGTCATCCGGGCACTGGGCGTCGATCTCACAAGACCGGTTCATGTTGCTGTAGTCGGTCATGTATTCCTGGGGGCACTCACCGGCTTTGGGAGGGGTCAGAACGCTCTGCTCTGTTGTTCAAAGTAAAATTAGAAGCTTATGTTTGGTTTTTAAAATAAAATAAATATAACAAATCCTTTATAGAAACAAGCTTTTAAGTGCACGGAAAATAAGAAAATAAAATTAATATGCTTTATTTCTTAAAAGCTTAGGTCGCTAAAATATGTCAAAAATCTTATAAGCGACCACAGCTTTTATTATATTTGTTTTAGTGATTCCCAATTAATGAGGTCGTCACAACTAAAAATATTTGCCTTAAAACACAATCCGTAACTCGCGATTTTTGAGAGTTTTTTTTTTCTGCCCCGTGAAAGCAGCCGTCCGTGACAGTATTTTACAGACGACAGCAAGGTCTAAATCTTGTTACTTAGTTTAAAACCATTTAAATACTTTATTAATCTGAGAAAAAGAAAGAAACAGGTTTAGAAAGTTCCAGAATGTTCCTCCTGTCAACTCACGTGTCTGCTGCCAGCAACACCTGGAGATGTTCCTGCCCAACGTCGTGCAGACTGTGCCGTCCGGGCAGTGCTGCGAGTAGCAGTCGACTTCCGTCTTGTGGTCGTCTGCTAAAACCGGAAGTCCTACGGTCGTCCTGTCTCTGAGACTGCACGAGTTGTCATACAACACTGTTGGTCCTAATCATAACGTGGTTTGTTTTTTTTACTAATAAAGTTGTCACATGTTGTACCCCCACACCCCTCCCCCCCCCCCCCAAAAAAAAAATAATAATACGAAAAACAACCTCATTTCATTTATTTGTTTTCCCATACTCACTCAGTGAGCCAAAAAAAAAAAAAAACTCGCTGCGCGTAAAAAATTTGGGCGGGTTGCGGCAAAGCTCGGAGATCCGATACCATAATACATACGCAATTACTAAAAACGAATATAGAAAGTAGAATGGAAGCCCTTTAAGAGGATATGACTTTGCACGCTGTAAAATGTAATTTAATGCTAAAAATTAAAGATTTAAAAGTTTAAAATGCTTTGTTTACATGAAAAAATGATTTTACAGCCGGCAAAATTATATATTCAGAACAGGCGTCCAATTTACCATAAAACTGTTATAATTTAATTAACACTTAAAGTCTGGTATCGGATCGCAGAAATAGAAACGAACGCATACTTAGTTTTGCGTAATGTCGCGGAGCACCCGGCTCAAGTTCAAAGCAGGATTTTGTGTTCATTCGTGGATTACCATGGATTTTTAACAATGTGTAGGTAAGTTAAATGCTTTATATATTATTATCTATATTCCTTTTGTTTATAATAAACTGCTGCTTTAAACCATTTGAATTTTAGTGTCCACTTATGGGTAATTGCTACCCGCTTAAAAAAACATTTACAAAAAAATTATCAAGCCTATTTTAAAACTTCTTTGTATTTAATTTACGATTACCAAAATAAAAAAAAAGGAATGCACAATTAAATCAAAAAGATGTTAAAAAGTGTGATAGAATTTAATTTGTATTGGTGAATGTTATTAATTATTTACATGGACTGATTAAACTTTCAACATATTGTCGATATTTCAAGCCGCTTTTCCGCCATTGTTTTTTTTTACTTTCTCGTAGTGTTGGGTTCAACTATTATAATACCGCAGCGGTTAACAGCATACTTTCAATTTATTGTAGCATTGTTTATTTCGTCTTTCCTAGTTTAATAGTTAACTATTCCATATAAGTGCAGTAATTACATTAAATTTTAGAATACTACGATTGTTAAAAAAAATTTTATCTCTAGAATTATTGAACTGATGACTTTGAAATAAAATGTAGCCCCCTCCCCTTCCATAATAGTTTAGTCCAAAATTGTTTCTAGATCTAAATCTACTTAGATTAGTTAGATTCACCATTGCTTTCATCTTAATATTTAGTAGTAGAACTATCTATAGTGTTTACATTTTCTATCTAAAAAAACACTGAGCAGCCTTACTTTTAATATTATTCTATTAACAGAGCAATATATTAGCAGAAATGAAGGGGAAACTGAAAGGCCTGCCAAAAAATATGTATTGTTTGTGTAAGCAACAACAGGGCTTCTTAATGCTTTTGAAGGGAACCATATGTCAGATGGTAGTATTTTGTGCACTTTGCTTATTATTTATAATGATGAAATGTTACATGATTGATATCTAAGTTGGTATAAAGATATACAGGCCTACTATATAAGTCAGTTTATTTGAAATGCTAATTAATAATTTTTATTCACAGCCCCCCCCCCCCCCCCCACCCCGGCACGCCTTGCGTATTTGGTGCCTGAATTTTTATACATGAACAGGTCCACTTAACATTCATAAAAATATTTAAAAAACGTTACACAATAAACCTTTTGTCTTTTTAAAACATCAAATACATTAATTGTTAACCAATTTTCACGCAAGTTTTTGTTTTGTTTTATCTGGTGTTAAAGATACCAAAACCCTTAAACGTAAAGCCTAAACATTAAACATGCAACTCTAAATATCAATAAACACCAAAATCATAAAAAGCGCAGGCCGAATTTAACAAATCACTAAAGAACCAATAAAATAAAGAGCAACTGAGCACGTGACTTACTTGTCACACACATAACAGCTGGTTTATACGGGGCTTTTTCGCAGGTGGGTTCTTTAATAAATCGACATTGTTGTCCTTGTGGGCAAGTCTAAAAAAACATAATTGATTAATGACGGACACGAATTAAATACCTTTTCAATAGTTCATTTAATCACAAATTAATGATGATGATTGAAATTTTGTAAAGAGAGGGTTTGGGTGTCCATAAAGTAGTTGTAGTAGTAATAAAGTTCACTTCTAACCTGAATGTCTACGGTAGAATTCACCTGTTTCTGTGATCTCTGTATATGAAGAGATAGTGTGGTCAGCACTATGTCCAGCCGCTTTGACTTGAACTCTGATTCTCAGAGACTTAGAGACTTACAGGTTAGCAGTCCAGCTCTCTACCACTAGGCCACTCCGTCGGTGTCGATGAATAACAACAACAAAGTATTTATATCCCACAACCCATTTTGTCAAACTATTTCCAAAAAATTACCCCAAACCTCTCACCCTCATCTAAAAGTACGTCACGAAATTCAGTTCACTTTTTAAATAACTGTAATTTTTTTTCTGAGTTCATTAACATGTTTTATCTTTTTTTTGTTATTAAAAATACACAATAAATATAAATGCTCGATACATTCTGATTCGTCACACATCGTCACCAAAGCCTGAAACTCTATAACCCCCGTGAGATGTAGGGTTATTTATAGACGACCCCTGGTCTAATTTAGAAGAAAATGACAACCATGTTGGTGCAGGGATTCTCGGGCTCTGGGTTACATCGACACACGGGACATCCTTCAGTGTCAACGGCTTGTCCGTGTGAGCAGAACAGATTACAGCTTGGGCCACAGTCTGGTTGATAAATCAAACATGTTAACACAGTCTCTATGATAGAGGCGTAGCGAGGGGGAGGGGGGTGTGGACCACACTGGGTGACACAATTTAGGGGGTTGACACTAAAGCAAAAATAAAGGGGGGGGGGTTGTTTACATCAAGTAAACGTTGACATGTTTGCCTGAGGAAAACGATTTGGTTGAGAATCGTAATAACTTATGTGTTAATCCATGTATGAGGTTGGGGGGGGGGGGGGGGGGGGTGACACAATTTTTTTATAATTTACCAAAAAAAAAATTGATTTTTGTAATTGAAATAATAACTGTTATTGTAAGTCCCCTAAATCCTTTTTCTATGTGGATTCATATATTGTTTGCACAAAATTGACTCCATTCGAAATAAACCGGTAGTGATCTCCCCTAAACTTTCTCGAATATTCTTATATAAAACAACAGGGGATGGAACCTCGGGATATAGACATGATTTTTAATCCATTTTAATACTTAAACTTTTTAAAATAAAATAAAATCTCGTAGACAAAAAGAATTGCACAGCAAGTGAACGCCAAATAAGATGTGCATAATAGTGCGGAATATTATTAGCACTTTCTAAATTCACATGCGTTTTTTGGGAAATCGGAAATAGCAAAAATTTCTACTTCCGGTCAACGGAAATTACTCAAAATTTAATAGAAGGCAGCGAATGCGTAGCCGGGGGGGGGGGGGGGGGGGGGGAGTGAGGACCGCACCGGGTGACACCATTTAGAGGGTGACACCGAGGCAAAAAATAGCAAAATATATAGAGAAAAATGATAATTCCAGTTAATTAAGTGAATGATTCGAGTTTTAAATAGTCTTTTAAGAGGTGCAAATCGAAAGTTTGAGGGTGCAAATCGAAAGTTTAAGGGGGGGGGGGGGGGGTTCAAGTCGAAAGTTTGAGGGGGGGCGGTTGCAAATCGAAAGTTTGAGGGGCCGGGGGTGGCAAATCAAAAGTTTGAGGGGGGATGCAAATCGAAAATTGAAAGTTTGTCCCCGGGAAGGGTCGCTACGCCTCTGGGGGGGGGGGGGGGGGGGTGACACCACTAAGTGCCGCACCGGGTGACACCCGACCTCGCTTACGCCACTGATTGAATGGTATATTTTACTTATATGTGAAATTTCATTTATCTATCTAAAATAGTACTAAAATTACAGGCTTTTGAAACATTGAAAGTAGAAAAAGCTCCACTTCCGGTTATCGGAAATCGCCCAAATTTGAGACGAATATACGAATTTGATATAATACGTATATATTAAATTACATCAACATAACTGTAACGGTAGTTAAGTTATCGTGTTTACAGATAAACACACACACACACACACACACATACACATACACACAAACACAGATAGACATACGGAAAAGATTGCAAAACTATGTTTTTCCGACTCAGGGAGGTGTAAAACGCCGAAATTTGCAAGACTTTCTCTATACTTTGTATATACGAGAAAGTAAAAATGCATAAAAACTTGTTAATAACAAGCTAATATGTAATAATGCGCCAAAAAGTAGAAAATAAATGATTTCTTTTAAATATATTACTAGACTACCCGTCATCCTTTGGATAACTGTGGGTTTCGGGGGTCATCCATAAAAAAAAACCATCACCTCTGTCACTTATCGTCGCAAAAAAAAACAGACCCCACATTCAAATAGACGTCACACCTCAGACGTTTTAATCTTTTAAAAACACCTATTTCGGCTGACCATGGATCTGACAACACTATCCCTTTTTATGCTGAGATCATAAAAACGGGTCAACTCTACCTTACCTGACCAGTGTCCCCCCAACTTAGACATGTTTTTGTCTTTTAAAACACCGAATAGAGTTTCTTCTCGGGAGGAGGGAGGTGAAAGTGTGAGGGCTCCTCCCCTCCCCACGAAGAAAGTCTACCGCCCCTGCCCCGGAGAAAAAAGTCTGGAAGAAACACTGACACCAACATAGGCTGAGCATAGGTCTGACCACATTACCCCTTCATATGTTGACGTCACAGGTGAACTCTACACCTACCCATCTCTACTTCGCCTGCCCAGTGTCCCGCCAAGTCTCAGACAACATCTTTTTATCGTTTACAAAAAGTTTCCGACCGAGCTTGGCTCTCACCACACTATCCCTTCATATGCCAAGAACACAGAAACAGGTGAACTCTACTTCACCTGCCCCGTGTCCTGCCGAGTCCCAATAGACAACTTTATCATTCACATCTATAAAAAAAATAACAAAAATAAATATTAATATTTACAAGATGTGTTTTGAACCCGTACCACACACACGGTTAGCGATTACACTATCAACTCACCTATCTGGAAAGTTACAATTCTAAGCAAATTTAGCGGTATAGAATCCTTGTATGAAACTTAAGTTACGCAAATAGGCCCTAGAGCGAACATTTCAAATTTAATATTATCCCGAATGAGCCTATTCCATAGCTAAACAAACAAAGATTTATATAAAGTAAAATATTAAGGCCTGAAATAGTTTAGTATATCTAGATAGAGCTAGATCTAGAATTTAAGTTAAGTCTATAATTTTGCAAAATTAGCGGTATAGAAGCCGAGTATGAATCTTAAGTTTCGCAAATGGGCCCTAGATCGAGCATTTCCAAATTAGCATTTTCCATAGCTAAACAAACAAAGATTTATATAAAATAATAAAGGTCTAAAATAGTTTAGTATATAGAAACTCATTATTATCTAAATCTAGATAGAATTATCTATATTCTAGATCTACGACTGGTTTGCTTAAGTCTAGTTTTTTTTTTGGATTGTATTTTTAACTAATAAATCTTTGGTTTGACCTAGATTCTAGATCTATAAATAACTTTCTTGGACAGATTGTAGAGCTAGAGAAATTTATTGTAAAACTAAATGAAAAAGACAGTTGAAAATTGACATAAGTGTTGGAACGTAATAAAAACAGCAAACGGACGTATTGTTAAAGTTATAGCCGACAGAAAATTAGCTTTATAACGCGTTAAAGATCTGAATAAGATACGAAATCTTGTATTGGAGCCGCCATTTATTGTACTGAAAAGTAAACAAATCATGTGACGTCACTATTCACTCAAAGTAAAGTCGTTTTTCTAAACTTTTAAAATTAATGTGGTTAATCTACCAATTAATAAATCAATACATTAATTAACGTCTTTAAATAAATTTTCAAATAACAGTCTGTCTGAAAACAAAAATTGTTCTCTACTTACATACTATTTTACAGCTCTCCACATAGAGCAGATTCTCTCCATTACCCAATCAGACAAAAAAAAAACAAAAAAAAAACAACAAATAAATATTCAAATATGTAAACAAACTTGAGTTTTAGTAGTACAGAGATAATACACTACTATTTAAACATCTATAAAGAAAAGTATGGGTCACTATATTATCTATTGGATACCTTTACTAATATTTAGGAACGTTTTCCATGCATTTTTACAAGCTTTTATTTAACTTGCTTCCTCTGTCGTCCGTCATTGATCGAAACTGCCTTGCAAAATTTCGCGCACTTCTAACTGACCGAATCGTCTCAAACTTGTCAGTTTTCTCCTTTCAATTTTTCAAAAGTACTAGAACTTGAGTAATATTTCAGATAGATAAATAAAATTTCACACGTAAAAGATTTGATTCTCTGCCTTCTATCAAATTCTAGTAATTTCCGTTGACCGGAAGTAGTAATTTTCGCTATTTCCGATTTCTCACAAAACGCATGTAAATTTATAAAGTACTAATAATATTCCGTACTATTATGCACATTTTGTTTGGCGTACACTTGGTGTGCAATTTTTTTTACGAGATTCCATTCTACTTTAAAATGTTTAAGTAATTAAAAATAGATTGGCAATATTGTCTATATCCCGAGTTGCCATCCCCCGTAATGTTATATAACAATATTTGAGAAAGTTTAGGGGAGATCACTCCAGCATTTTTTTGTCAGTGTATGTGTCAGTTGATGCTGATATTCCCTCAGCGGGGTTGGGTCCCCGCATCGGCTTGTAATGTATATGCAAAAGTAATGAGCGCGGCATTAAGGCTTGTTTATGCAAAAGTACCTAGTTTATACAACAGAGCTCTCCTTCAATCTTGTATAAGCAATAGTGCCACAATTCTGTCTTTTACACAGGAAACAAAACCAGGGGTGGAGGGGGGTGTTAAAGTTTATGACAAAATTACAAAAATATACTAGCCTACACACGTTTTTCATCGATTGATAGTCTTCTTGGAATTGTGCAGAACATAGTGGGTACCGGGTAAACCAAATAGCAAGTGTGGTCCAAAATAGGAAATCCTTGCAGGTAGTGGAGGGATCCAGAAAGTCTGGGTAATCTCCCAGCAATTTTATCTAAGCTTCTAAAAGCAGATTTTAAATGCAACAGTAGTGTCTTTTTCCCTTTACCCAGTGGTAAATTTGTCACAGACGCATGTGGTGCGTGGACTGTGGTGTTTTGTGTATATTGGAGGGTGTAGTGTATTTTTTGAGGGGTGGTGTGTGAAGGTGCAGTATAGGATGTTTGGGTGAGTTCGTAAAATTGTCGTTCATGTTGTCGAGCTGTGTAAGGTGGTGTGGGTTTCAATTGTGTATGTGTGTGGAATGGTGAATCGCGTAGATGGTGTGGGTTGAGTGATTGGGTTTGGATTGTGAGGGTGAGCCTTGGGGTATACTTTGTGGGTGAAAAAGGGATGTGTTGTGTTCATCTACCGTAAAGTTACATAACGTAAGCAAAGGAGTCCTTTTTTTTCTCTTTGAAAATTAAAACTTTTATACTAGAATTCAATTTAAAAAAATAATTATAAAAGCAAATGGAAATCCAGTTTCTATTCTACTGTAGAGATGATTATATAATATATTGAATAGCTTTACTGATATTTCGGAAGAGGACCACGCTTTTCTTTATAGTTATTTAAATAGCTTGTGTAACATTATTATATATTTCTTCTTTTTAGTGAATTATTACATATAAGCTTGTTATTAAAATATTTTTTATGCTTTTTTTTTTCAGTACTTTTAAATCTGTAATATAATGCAGTTTCATGACTAAACACTATTGCGCACACATTTTTAATGTGAGACTTAAAATCTGCCTATAATAATAGTAGACAGCTATTTATTTTGTAAAATAAAAACTGATTTGTAATCTATCGTTTTAAGCAGTTTTTTGTGAGCATGTGTACACAATGTTAATGAAATATCTTAAGCAGTTTTTGCGGGACTATTTTGATAAAAAGTAACATACGGTCGTTTAATTGATAAAGCCATTTGATAAAGCGTTTGTGTTTGCGTTTGAGTTTGTTTTGCGTTTGTGTTACTTTTGTGTTTACATTTTTGTTTGCATTTGTGTTTGCGTTTGAATTGTGTTTTTCTTTGTGTTTGTGGTCGCGTTCTGTTTGTGTTTACATTTGTGTTCTTTTTTTGCGTTTGCATTTGCATTTGTGTTTGCGTTTTTGTGTACTTGTGTTTGCCTTTGTGTTTTCTTTTGTGTTTGTGTTTAGTTTTGTTCTGTTCCAAAGGTGGTGCATTTAAAAAAAAATCACCGTGCTGGAGCACGGGTATGCAGCTAGTCTATAATATAACGCTGCTGGTAGTGTGTCAGTCCGTCATCGCTATAGGCGCGGACGCCCGGGTAAACGTGTTGTTTGGCTGCGGTTTAAATTACGCTTTGGGTTTGTGGAGGAGAGATGTCTGGGTGGACGTTCATGAGAGCGACAGATCACATTTTTTTCTGTAATTTTAATTTCGTGAATATCCATATTCACACCAAAGTGCTACCGACACCCGCGCGCAGCGCGTTGCGCTGAAGAAATTTTCGACCCAATTCGGTGACCCGCACTCGCGGTAATACTCATATCCACACCGTAGCGAAGCACGGGTATAAGCTAGTTAAAATATAATGCAATTACGTCAGTTTCTAGTCAGTCATTTCTTTACGTTACACAATTAAAGCAGAAAACAGTTACATCAATGTGTATATCCTTATCGCTTTCTACTTTCGTAACTTTAACTGCTTATTAAAATATAATACTCTAGCTTAAAACGATGGTTTTTTTTTAAATCTTCACCCCTTTTGGTATCCCTCAGGATCCCCGCCTGGGGCGGCTCCCCCCCCCCAGCTCCGACACTTTATGGAATCTCCAATTTTAGCCTTTAAGAGGGTACTTTACTTTTTAACGTTACGCACCTTTTTTAGCCTGACACTGACACGTCAGACAGCCTCCCTTGTCCATGACCCTCTCAAAACCAGCGGGGCAGAATTCCGTGACGCACGTGAGCGGCGCGCATCTGACGTCATCTACAAATAAACCATTGTTTTACATAGTGACCTCTAGCCGGACGGAGGTGAACTGTACAGAGTTTCTTCCAGGCATCTCTTCGGGGGGGGGTGGGGGGCAAGTCCCCCCCCCCCCCCGAATTTTTTTTACCGCCCCCCCCCCCCAAATAAATGAAATTTATATAATTTATATAGTAAATATATACTTTTAACAGTGTCCGCCCTCCCCCCCCCCCCCCCCCCCCGAAGAAAGTCTACCGCCCCCCCCCCCCCCGAAAATTTCAAGTGCCCCCCCCCGGAGAAAAACGTCTGGAAGAAACACTGGAACTGTAGCCGGAAATCAGTGAACATAAGTCTGACACACGTTTGTTAACTTCGATAAAGACTGTTGGGTATCTAATTTTGGCTGGCTCTATGTTAAAAGAAATCTGCTGGCGATTAAGTCACCAGTGCAATAAATAAAACACGCCACAAACAAATGTCTTCATAGGCTTTTAAAAGCGATACAATATAGGAAGTGTTTGGAAAAATCTGGTCTATCTCTGGTCACTGGTCAGACACAACAGTTTTGTAACAGCATCAGAGGAGTAGCGAGCATTCCCGGCGCCCAGGGGACAAACTTTCAATAAGCCCCCCCCCCATGTATTTTTTTAAATATTTATAATGCAAAACTGCAGCTAAAATGAGCTTTTATGTTTTTTCCCAACCCATTTTGGCGCCCCATAGGGTCGGCGCCAGGGGACATATGTACCCCCCTCCTCCTCGCTACGCCTCTGAACAGCATGCCATCTGCTACTGCATAACCATAGTAGGATAAAATCACGTTCGAATAATGGAACTTTGACAATAGGGCCTACTCACTCTCAGGGACACACGAAGCCTCTCTTTGACAAGGTTTGTCTGCACATGCAGTTTCTCTAGAGATACAGGCGTAGCCTTCTTTACACACCTACGTCAGAACACAACATGTTAAATAAAACCTTTAAAAAATGTAACGCAAATATTAATTATAAAAAACGAATGGTACAGATTTTCTAGTTGTTACATTACTTAAACAAAGGTCTCCCGAGTTAACCTTAGTATCTTATTCTTATTTACAGACAGCTCAGACGACACGTCCTTTCCCTCACAGTACACATCAGCTATACTGTAAACACTGAGTATACAAGGGACATAACTTCGATATACATCTTAACTAGGGACGTATCGATAACTAACAAGACATAACGTAACATTTGTAATTTCAACTTTCAAAAACACGAACCCACTGATTGTAGGAAAAAAAAGTCACAGGAAAAAAACAGGAAAAAAACCACAGAAAAAAAAGTCACAGGAAAAAAAGTCACAGGAAAAAAGTCACACGAATAAAAGTCACAAATGTATGTTTACATAGAATTTGTTAATACTTATATGTATTACGCTAATCAACGCGATTAATTAAAAGTAATGTAATCATTTTAGATATATATGCGTACTTTGTATACATATAGTAATATTTATAACACATATAAGATTTGAGTATAAAGTTTGTAGGTTTTAAATGTAATTTTTTTCACATAATATTTTAAAGAATTTAATATGATGTTAGAACCTTCTTGGTTTCAATCTTGGTTTTTAAATATTAACTTTAAATTAGCGTGAAATGGCATAAATACAAATTTAATGTGACTTGCTGTCTTCAACTAATCACAACAATAGTTCAACCACCTTTACTGCCCACATTTATCACGCTCTTTACGTAACAAAACCTAGGATCAAAAGAGAAAGCCGACACGGTTCAAAAGTTGTGACTGACGCAAAACGTAAACAAAACACAATATGTACGGACAAAGCCGGCAGAGGAGAAGCCGACCAAAATAAAGCCTATGGCTAAAAACCTTAGCAAACACAATGATGAGTCTAAATTTATTTTATGATAGTTTTCCACCGTGTATTTAACTAAATACGTAACTTATGTTGACGTTGCTATGTACATTATCTTACAGTATTTTAACTTATTATTGGTATAAACCAGGGGTCTCCAAACTACGGCCCGCGGGCCGGATGCGGCCCGCGAAGTCTTCTCATCCGGCCCGCGGAGATCTTTTTGTCAAAGGAAACATTGTTTGTTGGTGATGGCTGAGGAACTTTGCCCTGAAAAATCAAAGACATGCCTTGAATCTTGAAGAAACTGGCCCCCGAACTAAAATTTGATAGCTAATGCGGCCCTCGGACTGTAAAGTTTGGAGACCCCTGGTATAAACCATAATGCTTTTACAGTTTATAAATATGCTACTGAAGAAAATTACTAAGAACATTAATAAACACCAAAATTGTACAATTATTAATAATGAAATCAAAATATTTCTTAGAATATTTCTGTGACTTTTTTCCGATAAAATCTTTCTTTTGTGACTTATTTTCTGTGACTATTTTTCCTAGCAAAAACTGTGACTTTTTTCTGTGTTTTTTTTTTCCTGTAACGTTTTTCCTTTCACCGAAAAACTACCACATGAACCCTTAAAACACTCACCGAATGAGCCCCCACATACGAACCCCTTGACCCACCCACCCCTTGAACTACTTACCACCTTCTCGCAGGGGTCAGGTAGAACACACCTCCTGATACAGCCCATGTAGCAACACCTAGCACTCAGCTGACAGTCCTCATCCCTCCGGCACTCGTCTTGCACCTTGACGGTCTGCGAGGGCTGGATGATGCAGGTCTGGGGTAAGCTCGGACATGTCCACGTCACATCAATGCCCAGCTAGAATCAAGAGAGCCAAACAACACCAGCGATAATTTTAAAGATTTTCATAGAGCTGTTAGGCGATTGATTTTATTTTGAATTATAGTAATTTAAAAAAAAATTTCATTCGTTTCTGAAAAAAAAAAACCACGATAATACTTTAGATAACAGTTTTTATCTAACTTTTATAGAATAGCATAATAATCTTACAATTATGTTTACTAACAATTAATGTGACATTCGATCATATATTTTATGAACAGAACAGTTTTGAGTTCTTCCAAGAACCTTAATCTTAAACATGAACCAGAAAGTTAAAAATAAAATAAATAACATTCGTGTTTAAACACTCAAAAGTTAGGCTTTTGATTATGATTTATAACTTATTTATTGTAACTGCTTTTGTCTGTTAAAATGGCAATGATCCAGTTACGGTTAATCGTAAGAAAAATCTAAAACAAAATATCTACTTACCTTCTCTGCCAGCCCCATCGTTACCAAGGTAACCAGAATTATAATAGTTTTCATACGTTTTGTATTTTCGTTCCGAAATATATAAATCATAAATTCTAAATGTGACGAAATCCTATACTTTATCCACACATAAACTGAAGAAGAGTGCTAAATATGACAATATATCTCACTTTAAAGTAAAGCTGTTTAATGTACTAGATCAGTGGTTCCCGAACGTTTTCGAATGGAGACCCCTTTTTATAAAAATTAAATGACCCGCGACCCCTATCTATCTATATACTACTAAAACTCAAGTTTGTTTACATGTTTGAATTTGTTTTTGTCCGTTTGGCTACAGGAGAGAATCTGCACTATGTGTAGAGCTGTAAAATAGTATTTGGGTAGAAAACAACTTTCTTTTCTAAACACATTGCAAATCATAAACTAATTTAAAGACGTTAATTTATCTATTGATATATTCATTGGTAGATTAACCACATCAATTATGAAAGGTCAGAACAATGACTTTACTTATAGTGAATGTGAAAAAAAAACATTTGAATTGCGTCTTGAACCCGTGCCACCCACAAAAAGTGCACAAAAAGTCATCATTGGCGTACACAGCCTAGATAGCTAAGGTGTTAGTGTAATAGGCTTACATGCAGGTGGCACGAGCTCAAGACACATCATGTCAAATGCCGTGGATAGTGTGGTCAGAGCCATGCTCGACTGAAATCTATTTTTTAAACGATAAAACATGTTGTCTGAGACTTTGCGGAACACTGGGCTGGTGAAGTGGAGTTGGGTAGGTGTAGAGTTCAGCTGTGACTTCAGCATATGAAGAGATAGTAAGGTCAGACACATGCTCAGCCGAAATCTGTGTTTTCAAAGACAAAAACGTCTGAGGTGTGACGTCTTTATGAATGTGGGGTCTGGTTTTTTGTGACGATAAGTGACAGACGTGTTTTATTTTTATGGATGACCCCCGAAACTTACAGTTATCTAACTAGATAACTACAGTTATCTAACTAGATAACTGGTAGTCTAGTAGAATAAAGGAGACAAAATTAGTAATGAAATTAATAAGCACTAAAATAGTATTTTGTCGTAGCTTTTTAATTTGAATTATTCTTAATAACTGTTTTAATACGATGAGTGAAATTACATGCTATTTATAACTAGCCTCAACATTCGCATTTCAGTTTTTTAAATGCCAACCTCATTTCATTCCGAGCATTTAATTTATTTCTTTGATTTGTTTTTAAATGGAAAAATGATAAAAATCTATTATCGCAAAGATATGTAGGCACAAAAGAAACTAAAACTCAAAAGGCAATCAATCTCACGTTTGGATATGAATGGTGAAGACTACACTAAAATTGTTTGAGCAGTTTTTCATTTAGCACTGTACTTGACTCGGAATCATTCCGCAAATTTAAGAATTCATCTTTTAATTCATCGGGAATGCTGGCTCAACGGAAGCAGAAACTGATTTACATTTAACCCAGATTCTTCTTTTTGCAGCTCAAGTTTTTATTTATCTCACAATCAGATTCATCTACCACAATGCACAGTTTCTCAAACATGACAATATTTTCAAGATTTATTTTTCTTCGCCAATTTTACAGCTTTGATAATATTCGTTCATTTTCTCTGAAGCTTCAGATTAAGCTTATGTTGATTTTCGAATATATCTGCTAGGTATGATACTCTCTCCAACCACTCTTTGTGGTTAAAGTTTGTTTCCCTTGCACTTCCAAGAACACAATGATTTCATCTTTCAGTTAAAAAATACGATTCACAACTGTTCCTTTACAGCGTACTGTAGTGTAGAAAAGCAGAACCTCGTGATCTGAATTCATGTCTTTGCACACATTTTTTTAAAAATAGAAGGGTGTTGAGGGTTCCATATTTAATATAATTTACTTCTTTTATTATCAAATTAAATGCCTCATCAACAATCATCCAGTTTAAAAAAATCTTATTAATTTTCTTTATAATATCTTCACTTTTTTGTAGTAGTTTCAAGTTCACTACAACCCCCCCCCCCCCAAAAAAAAAAACCAAAACAAAACAAAACTTCTTTGGTATCATCTGAATGAATATATTTCTCAAAGACAAGCAACTACGTATACGAACTCACGTCTGTTAATTCATCATCTTGAAATGAAAACAATGGTGAAAGATTGATTTAGTTCAAAATATGTTCTTGAACATCTACGGACATAACTGCTATATGCCGCGGAATAGTATTATTAGACAGATATATTTTTTGTATCTTTACTGCACTGGAATGCCAAGAATTAATTTCACCATCTTCAACATGCAGGGTTTGATTTGATGTTTTGTCCTACTGTGTGAGTTTTCGTTTTTTTCTTGAAAATTTCTAATGCGACTTTATATGAAGCTTGCACTAATGCTGTACTTCCTTGGTAAAAACTTCTTGTTCGATCAAATCTCTGGCATTTGCAATTATCTTCTTGCCGATGAAAGAACTCATTTTTTTGTGTGTTCTGAATGAATCGTCTAAAAATGATGTTTTAGCTTAGAAAGTTTCATAGACTCATGACTGAGAACAACTTTGCACAGTACGCGTTGTTTCTTCTGTATTCCATTTCTAGTGATGTTAGTAAAGCCGAACTTCAGAGATTATTCTTTACGATTTTTGTTTCATTGCTAGCGCTTGTGACCTACTTAGGTATCATTTTATCAAGTGTTAGTCGTGGTAAGAAGTGTTTAAGTTTTCATGAAATTGTAAGTTGTATTTTCTACATAATTATATATTTTCTACATTGTATTTTATTAATTAAACTCGTTACATTTTAGAAGATTTTGGTACTGATTAAAAGTTCTATTAGATTCAGGAATTCTTTATATTTATAATTTCACCCTACACATTAGATAGCGAGTTTATAAAGATGTGTTGTTTCTAGTAGTCTTTTTTATAGTTTTCATTTAGTTCATCAGTCCAGAAACCAACCCCGAAAGAATCCAAGTGTTACGTGAGATAAATCAGTCGTAGAAGTACGTAACAGGTTTAATCTACAAGTTGGCGACCCCCCTGGGGATCGCAACCCACAGTTTGGGAACCCATGTACTAGATAGTAAACAATCGTTACATTTATAGGCCTATGTACGAATCTATTTCAAAACGTGAGGGGGATGTAAAGAGTTGTTGACATAGTTTGTACGAAAAGCGAGGCTACACTACGGCTAAAAAAATGGCTTCGATTTTCATGTGGGAAAATGGCAGCTGTGGGCGAAAGTCTACTTTATTATATTTTATAGTCCAAAGATTTTTACAATACAGTTATTTTTCTTCTAATAATCGTTTAGCAGGTCTTCAAAAAGCATACAATTTGAATCTTGTTTTGTAAATTTAAAGCGAATAAAACTGTTTTCTCATTTTATTGATTGTTTTTAGACATAATTTTGTACTGTTTATCTTAGTATGCGTTTTAAAAAAAAAGTAAAATAAATGAATAGTTTTTAAGTATTCGATATTGTTGATTGTTGGTGTGTTAGCTAAAACTTCAACATCCATATGCGCATCACACTACTTGCTTGTATCTAATACTTTTCTCTTGGTTCAGATTAAGTAACTCCAGGAATGAAACAAGCGTAAAACTAAAAACACGAACTTTATTCAAGTTTCAAGAAATAAAACAACAAAAGACGTTTTTAGTATAGATATTTTAAATTTTGAAAAGACAACACATTTTGTGGACTAATGAACATATGCATTCAATTTAAAATAAAATAGATAACGGATAATTTACAAGAAGTACAATAAAAAATTGACAATAAGGAACCTGTTGCTGATACATTTTTTGATGTATTAGTACCTATTAAAAGATAGTTGCAGAGACAATACAAATTATCGCTTATCCATTAATCCTTTCCCCATTTCTAGACGTGTTTCTTTCATTGCATACAATGCCTTTTAGTAAATAATTGGCATTGTATAATCACCACAATGGACTGGTGTGGTTTCAAGGTAGAGCGTAGGGCTAATAACCCAAAAGACTCACGTTCGGATCCAGAACTGGAATCCGTATGATGTTACTGAGTTTATGACAGACATTAGGGAACTTACAGACGTATTGGCGTAGAAGTATTGACAGCACTATTCTTTCATACGCCGTGGCCGAAGTAATGTTGTATCACTATTATGTTTCAGCACTGTCTAAAAGTGAGAACTGTAAAAATAATGTATAACGTTTGTCGTGTGAGTTGTGGAACTTGTATTTCAACATTTTAGCACCACAAATCTTTAAAATGGAATTAGTTAAATCAAATTAGCTTTAACATTAAGTGTCGCGTTTGTAATTTGTCAAAAACTATTGTCAAAATAACGAATACATATAATTATGGATAGTCTGCACGACTTACAAAACTACAGACCTTAAATCTGTTCAGAATCTTTGTAACTGCTTAAATTTAAGTAGGCCTACTCGAAAACATTTAACATGGGAAACAATGTAAAAATATTATTAAAACAACATCAACATAACATACAAATGTAAATATGTAGGTACAGAAAATCTAAAAATCTAAAGAAAAATGCAGATGTAAGAACACAAAAAATTCGGATGTTGACACAGCAGACTTCTTATTATTTTCCATCCCATCTCCTAAAATTAAACAGCTTTTTTAAAGGTATATTTTCCAATATTAATTAAAATATAGAGTAACATATTCTTAATAGCAAAGTTTTATAGGGTGTTTCATTAGACATACATGAACAAAAATCTCGCCATACACGCAATCAAACATAACTTTAAGAATCTGTGTTGTTCTCCACAGTTAAATCTAAGATCTAATTATTATGTTTGATTAAATTCTAAATGTATATTCAAATATTAAACCAATTAATCGCTAGTTACATCTCTTGAAACCATTGAATAAAATCAGTTTTTTTCTGTTATAACATAAGAAATAATGCTAAAACAATATTAGAAAAACATTAAAATTACATAATCATACGACGTAGATATTTTTTTAGATACGTTTACACATAAATTTTTTTTAAAATATTGAGAAAAAAAAATTACATTGTAGAATATTATGACATGACACAATTATGACACAACCCATCTCTTCTCTAAAATTAAACATCATTTTACAAGCTTTTATTTAACTTGCTTTCTGATGCTTTTGTCTGCCCTGTTACACGCTTTTAATAAACACTACCGAGAATACTCTCGAAATTATTCGAAAGGCCAAATAAATTATGTAAACATCATATACTATATTTTTAAAATAAATATCGTCATAAATTGTAATTGTTGGATTTTTGTTGGAATTTTCTAAAGATTGGGTGTAATTGGTGTGTTTAGCATTCTCTGTAGCTTATCAAAGTAAATAAAAAAGCCACACACACACAAAAATACATAATTGTTTATATTTATCACAGAAATTGAAAAGAAAATGTCTAATCTTTAAAAATTGTATCGGCAAAGTTTTGAGTACAAATCACTGTGAGTTTTTTTTTTATGAAGAGCGGGTTTCAGAATATCGATCACTGTTCAGCCAATCAATGTTTGTCTTACAAAAGGCTTGATTAAAAATAATTGTATTGTTACTTAAGCTAAAAAACAAAGTTTCAAGTGGTCTGGACGTACAACTTTTATAACATTGATTATAAAAAATTTAAATTTCTGAATTATTTTCATGCTAAAGTTTTTAGTATTAAAAAAAAAACGAAAACAACAACACGTTTTTACAAGCGTTTATCTAGTTCGCAACGTCCGTTTGTATTTTTTTTTTGCTTTTGGGTTTGTTGCAAATCCTATAACTCAATTTTACCAACTTTTAATGCACCGATATAGTTCAAATTTTCCAATATAACTATTTATTCAAGTTCAATGCATGAATATGTATTTTTAATTAAATTAGATATTGGATTAGTCTATAAAATCTAACTATACCGTTTTGAAACTAAGTGAAGGTAACGCGATTAAATGCTAACGATCACTTGATATATTACTATATTCAATTACAGAAAGGAAGATGATAAGCTAGACGAGATAATCCTAATGAACTGAGCTGTGGTGGACGCAAAATTTGTTTGGTCACGGTTGGTTGCCCGAGTGCCCAGTTACGTAAAAGGGCAGTCAACTGTCTTTTAGAGATTGCAATCTACTGTTCGGGTTTTGATAATTAAAGAAGAGATACCAAGATTAAAAATCTTATTTTAAAAATATACAAATAATAAGATAAGAAAATGATCTGATCCTCACATTTAAATCTTTGATCTAAACATTTTGTTTATATAAGTTACCAAAAGCTTTATCTTAAGCTGATAAATTACGTTGTACATCTCAGTTAGTCATTGAATAATATCAGTTCTTCTTGTTAAAACATGAGAAATAATACTAAATTACAATTAGTTAAAGATTAAAATGAATGGAAAGGAGTTATCATCTTGGATACGCTTGCAAAGTAAAAAACAAAAAGAAATAGATACAGTGTCTAAAAATCTCTCAAGCAGTCAATTCGGTGTTACATGTGGGCTTAGAGTGTTCCTCATTTGTCCGTTCTTGAAGTCCTCCCATTTTTTGTACACAACCGGAAGTGTGTAGATAACCGGATTAACGGCCGAGTTTAGCGGCATCACAAACACAGCCAGCCAGCCGTACGTCTGCTGACTGAACGTGTGACCACGCGCGGTCATTAGACCAATGACGCAGACAGGAAACCAACAGAGGAAATTGGACATGACAACCAGGGACAAGTTTTTGGCGACCATGATCTCACGTCTTCGCTTGGCTAAACTGTCGGGGCTACTTTGGAGCTGAGGTTTTTCTCTGGACATGGCCAGAAAGATGGCCAACTGACCAATGGCTATTAGAATAAATAAGATGCAATTAAAAATTAAGAAAACCCCAAATGAATACTCCCATCCTGATTCTTGGTTTCTTATCATTGGCAAGCCAAGGCACATGCCGTTAGAGGAATACACGCCCCAATCTGGGTACACCAAAGGAACAACGGCCAAAACGATGCCAACTATCCAGGACACAAGAAGTAAGAAATACTTTTTGAGGCGTTTAATCCTGTACGGACCAAGTGGGAACCTAATGACCAAAAACCTCTCTAGTGTGATGAGCAGCACAAACAACGCTGACGTTTCACACGAAAGTGTTGCAAGAAAACCAGCAGCTGTACACATAGAGCTGTGACGCCATTCTGACTCATACAATGCATAGTTTTCTCGGTAGTAGATGTCATTTCCAACTATGATAAACATATACACCCCCATGATAAGTTCTGATATGCTGAGGTTCGTCGCGAATAACCGATAACTTTTTATGATAAGTTTTCTTTCAAACCCAATGACCGACAGATTACCACACACAGACACCACAGCCAGAATCCACAACAGTATTCGCTTGACCTGGTCGCCTAGGAGATCTTCACACGAAGAAATAGCTTCCCGGGGAGCGAAACAGTTGAACGCAGGGATACCCGGCCCTCGGATCTGGGGACAACATATGTAAAAACTGTCCCCATGAAATGTGGAAATGACGATAAGTTTACTAAGATACTTCGATGTTTCCTTGTTTATTTTTAACTCCGTCGATCTTACGTCAAGTATTTCTAACCAGATTCTGTTAATATTACTGCCATAAAAGTTAAAATCTCTAATGCGAGTGTGACTTAAGTTTAATTCCTTTAAAGAGTTTTTTGATGGGAAAGTAAAAGTTGCAATGTTTGTGAACGATAGGTCTAGATGTGTTAGTTGCTTAGCCACGGAGGAAACAATATCTAGAGTGTGCAACGCCAAGTTATGAGAAAGAGTAAGGACTTTTAGTTTTGTCGTTATATAAAACATACTTTCAGAGTTGATCTCACGTATATTGTTGTGACTGATATCTATACCTAGAACCTGGGCGTCGAGTTCGGGGTTGAAAAAAATGTTTTCGGCACTCTGTAAATTACACTTGGATGCGCGAAGATCTACAAGTTTATTGAGATTACCACGTGATGCAGGACTCACGTGGGATAAATCAATGCCAGACAACATTAAAGATCTGGTGTGAATGTCTAAAGTACTGAGACTGGTTAGGATAATTTTGTCGGGTTGTATAGCGGGTTGGATTCTGCCTTGATGACAATAGAACCCTGCAGGACATGTCACGTGACAGCTCAGCTCGTCATCACCGCGAGGACAATGTGTCTTGTTGTCACACACGTGAATGGGTAAGAGATTAATTTGTTTAGAACCATCTGAAGCACACGTAAACAAGTTTTCACGATCTAAAAGAATAAATTCGTCTTCCCCAAAAGGACAGTCAGAATGCCCATCGTTAATGTTATACACAGGAATACAGTATGATGACGGACACTTATATAAACCTTCGGGACAATTGAATGTTTCGCAGTTTTCTAGATGCGATAAATCCGAACAACCGAATTTAATGTTATATCGTCCTTTTAAATAAACACAACGAGCTGTCCATGTTCTACTCTCTAGAATATTCCTACAAGAAATTTCGTTTATATGTAAGTCGTCACAGAAAACAATCCCTTGATCAAGTTCCTTCGGGTAGATACAAGATCCATTTCCACAAAACCCAGAACAGCTGTTTACGTGGGTAATGTTCACATCAGCCGGTAAAACTCCGTTGACTGACATCACAAACCTACACGCACGACTCGGGTTTGAGAACCACTGACTCGGTAGACACGTGCCGTCGTCACACAAAGTTTCCAAGCAGACGTCATCACAACCGGCTTCATCCTCACCCCCGGGGCAATCGGGGTGCCCGTCACAACGTTGATCATCAGAGAAGAAACGTCTAGTAGAAGAACCTCTTTTCAAATTGCAGGGTCGTTTTGGGTAGGGTTTTAAACGAGGTGCAGCAGTAGTAATGCACATGGCATTTTCCCATTTAAATTCGCAGCCTTCCATTGCATCAATCTGTAAATAAATCGATTTTGAAGTTAATCCAAAACATTCCGATTTTTCTTGCTTTATTTGAAAGTTTAATGTCGGACGGAAAACGTATATGCATGAGTAGGTATGAAAAACAAACTCGGAGTGATTGTAAATTCTGTAAAAGTGTTCGTCTTTCGATTTCTTAATTTGAACCGTTATTTCCTCCGGAGGATAGAACTCTTCCTGTTCACAAATCACCAACTGTGTCTTTTTCTCATCGCGGACTTTCATGTCTGTCATGCTGTCACACGTCACGTTACCATCACGTGACCGTTCATTGCTGATCCAGACTGCTTGATTTACGATTCTAGTGCTCTTGACATTGATCACAACCATAGGGAAGTTGAAGGTCAAGGGTAGATAATTGTCCCAATGAAACCCATATACATTATGATATCTTCTTTGAGCAAGACCGAGATAAACAAAATACCCCGTGTTATTTCCAACCACACCTTCAAGATGTTTCTGTAAGAAATTAAATTCTTCCTTTGTTTCGAAAGTAACTAATTTCGCTTTCATCGAGTCACAGAAAGATGAAGCGTCTTTACGACTGGCACTTCTATCCACTTCTTTTATGAAGAAACAGGATAGATTTGAGCCTGGCGATTTTTTTACCAGGGGCAGCCACTCATTTAAACACTGATTACACAGTGTGCCCCTAACAACTAGGTCGTTTGTTAAATCATCTGTTTTCGAAAGGAAGTGAACATTTCGTACCTTATCATGGTCCCAAGGTTTTCTAAAATGTAAATACAATTGGTAATATGCGCCACGTTCCAAAACATGTTCTATTATAAGAGGACAATTCCAATAATTGACAAATATCGCCAGACGCTTTGCTTTTACTCGTCGTGATGTGTTAAATATTTCTTCAGCGTTTTCCAGACATTTACGGTTATCTATAAGCTCATCCCTTCTTTTAAAATGGCGATTTTCAACTAATCTATTTAAACCTTCCGTTAACCCATCAGTCGTGTTATAATCATCAAAGTGAATCAAAGATTCAAAGTGTGACTCGTTCACGCGATCCAACAAGTGAAGCCGTAGTCTCATTGTATCGTTGCTCGATGCAGGGAAAAACCATTGGACGATATTTTTAAATCTCCGGATTTGAAGACTGGTATCGTTCCAAAAATCAGAAACCAGAAGCAGGTCAATATCATCAGTTCTGCAGTCGTTCAACGGTAGCTGGTGCTTAATCAATATGGCGTTAGCTGTTTTTAAAACAAAAGCAAGTATATATTACAAAGTGCAGGTTATGTGTGTTTAAAGCTAGAAAAATTTTTGGAATGTGTTTCCTTATAAGAGAAAAGTTTTAAGCGCTTTTTAAATAATTTGCAAAACTTGCTGGTTATATGATTTGTTTCGTATTTTTCTCTAAGAGCTTGGACATATTACGTGTACCATTTTTGTACGAATTGTAGTTTTTTAGTTGCTAATACACTTATAATATTATTGTAGGAATTTAAATTTCCCTATTACTTAATAGATAGAAAGCATTAATGACCGAATGATAGATTGATTGCTTAAAAGAAAATTCCAGGTAAGGCAATCAAAATAAGCGAGGGCCTGGCAAATACCAACAAGTATGCTGGCAGACTTGGTAAGAGAAATGCTAGAATCGTAACTTTATTCGAGGCTAAAGTTTTATTAATATAACTGTAGATAAGGGAGTAAAATTACTAAAGGATCCTATCCCGTATACATATCCCGTTTATATATATATATATATATATATATATATATATATATATATATATATATATATATATATATATATATAACAGTAAGTCTATGAGAACTTTGGTTTTATAAAATCAACTCAAGAAAAAATGTTAGAAACTTACCACAAATAGACAGCATTCCAAACAGAAAAACCGAGAGCTGCATCTTTAAAGTAAAGCATTAAACCAAATTCGGATGATGGCATTGACGGGTAAATCGTTCTGATAACGTTGCTATTTTTTCCCATCAACTATAGCATGGCAGTGTTGACCGTATATAGCTGGAGATGTATTTAATATTTGATAACATGGTGTCGAGTGGGGATGTCTTACAGGGGTAGATGACACTGCTGAGAATAAAGATCTATTCAATCTTAACATCGTCAAAGTCTGTATGGTTAAACAGCAAATCTTGATAACAGATTGTGAAAAAAACGATATTAGAAAATAAGAGAAAAGAGAGAGAGAGAGAGAGGGAGACAGTGGAGTGAAAGACAAAGAGAAAGAGAGAGAGAGAGAGAGAGAGAGAAAAAGAGAGAGAAAGAGATGAAAGAAAGACAAATAAATTGAGATTTAGCGAAATGTCTAAGTGATAAATGCCCGAATATTAGCTTTCCAACTGGCCGATGTAAGTATTGACATGTTACCTGTATAAAGGTTTCAAGATAAGTCTATACAGATAAGGTGAGATTGCCAGTGTTTATATGAGACGTTTATCTTAGTTTACAAGGTGTCTGTCTTCAGAAGTACACTATTTATTATGTACGAGCATTTGTCAGCTAGGTTTTACTTTAGCCAAATGTCGTCTTGTCCAAACATAAATTTTAACACAGATATATGTTTGTACACAAAACACGTTTTAAGGAAATTTAAAGAGCATTACAAGAGGCTACACTAAAAACAACAGCGCAGCATTCTAAAAACTAACCTCAGTTAGGTGCCATGCCTCCATATCACGGTTTGATGGGAAAATATAATAAGAATCAATGTCAAGCTATTGAATAGAAAACCGCTTGTTTATTACTTTCCCTCTCCTGTTGACCACAAACACATATGACAAAATTAAAATATACTAAAAAATATTAGAATAGTATGATGTAAGAGTATATTATAGCTTTTTACACTGAAAGAACAAACAATAGCCAATCGCAACAATAACGTAGACAAAAAAAAAATAATGAAAAAATATCAGAAAGTGTAACAGAACATAGTACTCATACAGCATACTATATATTACTTCAAAAATAAAATAAACCAGTATGCATTAAATGTTACTTCATATTTAGAGAATAGCCAATTAGTGTTGCAACTAGAAAAAATAGTCCCCCACCACCACCTCCCCGCAGATTTTTTTTGGGCCCTGAGATATATATATATATATATATATATATATATATATATATATATATATATATATATATATATACACACTAGTGTATTTGTCAAGATTTGCTGCGACTATGAAAGAAAAATTCAAGGACACTTGTCACGATAACATTTAATTTACATTGAGTCATTTTTATTGAAACGTTTTTTTTTTCACTTTAATATGCAAAACATTTTTACAATGTCGCTTTACATTTTTTTCGTCCTTTT